TTACATCGCTGCGGCGAGCGTGTCTGCGCGCGGCGATGCTCAGTGTGTATGATGAGAGCTCCATCTCATCATCCTACTTTCCTCTCGAACTGCGCCGCGCGATTTCTCACGAAAGTGGTCTGCGCAAGCTGCATTGTTCCAGGCTGCTGCGCGCAAGTTGCTCTCTGCAAGCTGCTGCGCGCAAGTGCTCTGTGCAAGTTGCTCTGCGCAAGTGCTCTGAGCAAGTTGCTCTGCGCAAGTGCTCTGCGCCAGTTGCTCCGCGCAAGCGCTTTGCGCATGTGCTCTGCGCAAGTTGGTCTGTGCAAGTTGCTCTGCGCCTGCTCTGTGCAAGTTGCTCTGCGCAAGTGCTCTGAGCAAGTTGCTCTGCGCAAGGGCTCTGCGCCAGTTGCTCCGTGCAAGCGCTTTGCGCATGTGCTCTGTGCAAGTTGGTCTGTGCAAGTTGCTCTGCGCAAGTGCTTTGTGCAATTGCTCTGTGCAAGTTGCTCTGCGCAAGTTGCTCTGCGCAAGTGACTCTGCGCAAGTTGCTCTGCGCAAGTGCTGCCGGAGCTGCGGGGGTGTGCTCCGCGTACTACGTTTGTACTTAAAAGTTGCGATTCTCCAGCCGGAGCTGCGGGGGTGTGCTCCGCGTACTACGTTTGTACTTAAAAGTTGCGATTTTCCAGCCTGAGCTGCGGGAGCACGCTCCGCATACTACGTCTGTACTTAAAAATTGCGATTTTCCACCCGGAGCTGCAGGAGCACGCTCCGCGTACTACGTTTGTACTTAAAAGTTGCGATTTTCAAGCCGGAGCTGCGGGGGTGTGCTCCGCGTACTACGTTTGTACTTAAAAGTTGCGATTTTCCAGCCTGAGCTGCGGGAGCACGCTCCGCACACTACGTCTGTACTTAAAAGTTGCGATTTTCCAGCCGGAGCTGCAGGAGCACGCTCCGCGTACTACGTTTGTACTTAAAAGCTGCGATTTTCAAGCCGGAGCTGCCGCGGACCAGGGGGGAATCGAACCCGCGACCGCGGGATTGCGAAAGCAGGCGCGCAAACCACGAGACAACTTCCAAAGGCCGTTTCGCGAGCAAGAATATTGCACGGCGCCACAGCGAGAGCGCTTCGACACGCACAATCTCCGCAGAGGGTTCGCCGAGACTAAGACAAATTCGCACGGCGCAACAGCGAGAGCGCTTCGACGCGCACGATCTCCGCAGAGGGTCGCGCGCGCACCGCAGAAATCGTAAAAAGTCCTCAGTTTTTGAACCTCGACCACGCGAATCTCCGCAGAGGGTCGCGCGCGCATGCAAAATCGTAAAAAGTCCTCAGTTTTTGAACCTCGACCACGCGAATCTCCGCAGAGGGTCGCGCGCGGCCAGCAGAAATCGTAAAAAGTCCTCAGTTTTTGAACCTCGACCACGCGAATCTCCGCAGAGGGTCGCGCGCGCACGAAAATCGTAAAAAGAGGGTCGAATCTCCGCAGAGGGTCGCGCGCGCACCGCAGAAATCGTAAAAAGTCCTCAGTTTTTGAACCTCGACCACGCGAATCTCCGCAGAGGGTCGCGCGCGCATGCTAAAAATCGTAAAAAGTCTCAGTTTTTGAACCTCGACCACGCGAATCTCCGCAGAGGGTCGCAATCCCGAGCGACGATCAAACTCCCGCCCCGGCGCCTTAGAAACCTAAACTAACTTACATAGCTGCTAACGCCGAAGCTCTAAGCTCTATGTAACTTGGCTCTATGTAACTTGGCTCTATGTAACTTGGCTCTATGTAACTTGGCTCTATGTAACTTGGCTCTATGTAACTTGGCTCTATGTAACTTGGCTCTATGTAACTTGGCTCTATGTAACTTGGCTCTATGTAACTTGGCTCTATGTAACTTGGCTCTATGTAACTTGGCTCTATGTAACTTGGCTCTATGTAACTTGGCTCTATGTAACTTGGCTCTATGTAACTTGGCTCTATGTAACTTGGCTCTATGTAACTTGGCTCTATGTAACTTGGCTCTATGTAACTTGGCTCTATGTAACTTGGCTCTATGTAACTTGGCTCTATGTAACTTGGCTCTATGTAACTTGGCTCTATGTAACTTGGCTCTATGTAACTTGGCTCTATGTAACTTGGTAACTTGGCTCTATGTAACTTGGCTCTATGTAACTTGGCTCTATGTAACTTGGCTCTATGTAACTTGGCTCTATGTAACTTGGCTCTATGTAACTTGGCTCTATGTAACTTGGCTCTATGTAACTTGGCTCTATGTAACTTGGCTCTATGTAACTTGGCTCTATGTAACTTGGCTCTATGTAACTTGGCTCTATGTAACTTGTCCAAGGGCTCCGCACGGAAGAACCCTTCGCGATGCTTTCGGGAAAAAGCTAAGAAGCTAAGGGGATGACTGGGAGCCACCAAGATTTAGTGACCCCATGTAGGGCTATGGTTGATTGAAGTGAACTGGGTGTGAGGTCTGGACAAAGCACAGTATTCAGTCCGTGCTGGTTTCCTTTGCACAATGTACGCTGTTTCACCCAGAAAGTTGTCTACACACCTGGCAAAACCAAGGGCATGAAACAACAGGCGATTGATGCCCAACCATTTTTGAGGGTGATCCCTGTCTATTTTTAGCCAAGTATATACATATACTTATATTTACATATAGGTATACATCTATTTACCAAGTATGACATCCATATGTAGACATATATATATATATATGTGTGGAATGTACATATTTAACAACTCCCCCCCCCAAAAAAAAAACACAAAAACAAAAAGAAAGGCGGCTTTCCCTCCCGGCCGCTGAGCTCCCCCGCGGGCTCACGGTCACCACCTCCGAGATCTCCTTGGCGTGCGCCGGGCTTCTGGGGCTCGGGGTGTCCTGCGGCTCAGTCCTGGCAAGGCGAGAGCCGTGGCGTTTTTAGTTTGGCTTTGGGTCAAAACTCCGTACCAGTGAACATCCGAATCCATCCCCACTGAGATAGACTAAAATGGGTGGTGCACCTACCCCAAAATGGTACTATTGGTGTTGACCCGCGGCCATTTGGGTGTGTCTTATTACCAGCGGTACACATCTTGGCACAGAAGAGCTCCTCGTAGCAAGGTCATTTTGCTTTTTGCATACCCTCCCACCAAGTAACACGGAATATATAGAATGGTGGAGCCTCCGTGTGGCTTCTATGGACTGAAAGGGGGCCCATACTGCAAGCTTGGATGACATGCAGGTACCCTCCCACCAAGTAACATAGAGCCTGACGTTTCGGGGGTCGTTTGGAAAGGAACATGGTCATCCCGGACCCCTGTCAGGTTCCATGTGATTGGTGGGGGGGTACCTGCATGTCATCCAAGCTTGCAGATTCCTGCTGGGGGGTGCAACAAAACTTGCCGGAGGTACATCAAAATGATTGGCTTCCTTTTGGCTTCCCTAGAAACCACCATTTTGAGACCCACCCATGTCTACAAGGATCAGGGAATCTCGGTTTCCGAGAAGAACTTGGGAAACCTGCTTCCATTTTCAAGGGTCTAAAAAGCTAAGCCTTTTGGGTCATTTTCCAAGGTAGACCAAAAAGGGAAGACCAAAACGGGATAACCGGTCGGCTTTGAACAACTGAGTTTTAATGCAAAATGGCCAACAGGATAAGTCCGTGGTTTGCCCGAAGAATGGGTGGTGACTCCTGAGCAATGCACTGTACTGCGTTGCGGATGCAAAAAGTGCCAAGCGCTGGCGAAGCCCGTATTTCCTCCCCCACCCAAACGAAATATATATCAAACAAAACACTAGACACGATTCTTAGGAGCTTCTCAGGGCCCGCGGAATTCGGAGAACCTTTTGGAGTAGGGGCCAACCGTTCTACCGATGCGGTGACCACCCACTTGGAGCTCTCTCCTGGGCTCGTCTTCTGCATCGTCGAATTGCGGCTCCTGACGAGCCGCTTGCGTGAACCAACCTTTTCAAAGCTACCCTCACAACACACCGTCACACACACACAGACACAGACACAGACACAGACACAGTCACAGTCACAGACACCGTCACACACACCGTCACACACACACACACACCGTCACACACACCGTCACACACACCGTCACACACACCGTCACACACACCGTCACACACACACACCGTCACACACACCGTCACACACACCATCACACACAACGTCACACACACACACACACAAAACAAGCAACATCCTTGAAATTCAACTCAAGTACCAACCAGGAATCCTGCCCAGGGCATGCAAGCCACTGCTCTTTCCACCAAGCGTGCTTCAGAGCAACGCAAAAGGGCTGCATATCCCGGCAAAGGTTAGCTCGTGCTCAAAGAACGCAGCTCTTCCCTCAAAACATCATGGCCGCACCACTGAGAGAGATGTTTAAAGACTTTTTCTATTGCTTCAAAGGACGCCCCCCGCCCCCCTTCCATGGAAAACAACTTGAGGGTCTGAACACCCTGACCTATGCCAAGCCTAAGTTACTAAGGGAGCTGGAGTCAAAGTCCGCTGTGCCGATCTGCAACCACTTCTTCGGTCCTGTTCGGTCCTTTCTCACTTGTCGGTTTCGTTTTGCTGGTACCGGTTTGTCCTCGTCTAGAATTGGCTTAGTGTTGGTTTGGTAGCTTTACCGACATAATCCTACATACATATGTACATATGTATATATATATATATAAGACACACCTGCAAAGCGCAACTTTTTCGTCCTGCCAGTCGCGGGCGATCGCGAGTGCAACCCCCTTGACGGCTCAAGGCCCCGTGCCAGCCAGCACCACAGGTAAGCCGGTGCAAAAAGAACATCCAGAAATACACTCGGTCGCTTTCTGCTCCCCTGCTAAAAGCTTAACTTTTAGTGGTTCAATGGAAAGCCCATTAGCTGGCAAAAAGTTAATGTCCTAACATCCAAGCAAAATGCACCAAAATACTGCAAGCGCTGGCGCTCAGCTTCGCAACACTCCTGACCTCGCTGAGACTGTCGAAACAAGCAGCAAAGGGCCTGTGGAGCTAGGGGTGAGACGCTCAAATCTCACCTCACAATCCGCCTTCTCAACGCCACGTTGCCACCCTGGCGCAAGGAGTCCCCACATGCTCTGAACACCTCAGCCAAACAAGCCCTCTAATGCCTAACTCTTTGTTTACTACGAAGACGGGCCTTTCCAACAAGCGTAGTCTGCAGAATCTCGGTAAGTGAGAGAAACTTTGTGAAGGGTTTAACTTCCCACCTGAACTGAAACAAGTCTGGCCATGTTGATGCAAATCAGGAAGGGTCTATTTCATGACCAAATGCCAAAACCCTTCACCGCCTGAGTGCACGGATGACTCTATGGGTTTCTGCAGTTTCCCAACTGAGAATTGCCATGTCTCAAGGGGATCTCATCGCAGATCAATGCCCCAGGCCAGTGACCATGGCAAAAGTGTGTACCCTTGTTTTATTGATTGATTATACAAAGAAGCTTGAAGGGAAACACTTCCCAGAAAATGATAATCACAAAACAACAGGGTGCCTTGCTGGGCAACTGGAGCCGGGCATCCTTGATTTGAACCCCTCTCCAGCTATTCATCAGAGGGCCCATTTGAATGAGGAATTATTTCTGGGCTTGGGGGGAACCCCAGGAGGGCGCATTGCAAGGAATTAAACAAACAAAACGCATATTTATCGGTAAGTTCCATATCCATTCCGGGGATCCTTCTTTCTAGAAAACCACCTAAAACCCTACGGAAATGGCTGGTTTTTGAACAGAACGATGGCTGAATGGAGAATCAACCCCTAGAATATTACATTATCTTGTTTGCTTCTCGTTCAGTCACCAAATGTAAACTAGCAATGCAGGATGCCACTGGGAGATGGAGTTGTTGGCTTTGGGAAGCACTTGGTTGGGGGGCTAGACTTGGAGCGGGCCTACTCTGGGGCATACTCTTGCACATGGCTCACTTAGGACGTAATCCCATACTTTCCGGAGCCATGCAAAGGATCGACGCGTTTTTGGGCTGCTGATTGAGGACAGCCTTTGGTAGCTGATGTTAAAGGGTTGCCAACCTCAACAAAAACCAGAACAAAGGAAAAAAAACTGGAGGTTGAAGTTGCTTCCAAACGGCCTCACGCTGCTTTGATTTCAGCCTTTCGATCGCACGCGACTGCGCCTTGCTCTTCAGAGCGCCTGGCGATGCGAATTGAAGAGACTGTTCGTGTACCCCCACAACGACATATATACATATATACATATATAGCTGTAGCTATAGATACACCCTGCATGTAGTGTATATATCGAGCGGTTCGCTCATGTTCACTGAGGGGGGGGGGGGTTTGCCGACCTGCATGCAGTTGTCTGCGGATTTGCATGTGAAGGGCACCATTTGGTCCTGTTGCTCAGATGGGTGGCTCACCCTTGTCAGATATATTAGAAACCCAAAGTCACACTAAACAAGTTGCAAGAGGCAAGCAGGGTGCGCCAAGCCGTTGCGCGGACCAACCCACCTTCGCTCCCTTAAGAAAACTTAACAAGCTCAACTCACTTCCTGACTTGATTGGCCAATAGAGCCAAAACTTTGTGGGAATAAGGTCACCTGCATCCAGCAGATTCACTCCACTTGTCAATCTCCGGATGGCCCGGGGCAGGTCTAACGCAAGCCATGAAGACTGCCAGTGGTGGAATATTCCAAACATCTAAAATCCGGGATCCCCCGACGGTGTTCGCTCGTGCTACTTTCCGCCAAGCCTGAAGCACCGCCCTTCGCACCCGAAGCCTCGGCGCTTCGAAGCATGGCTAGGTTGACAATTCAGCTGGGAGACCAGGAAAAGGGTAACACACTGAACTGGGTAGAGGCTTGTCTGCTTGTTACGAATGGCTGCTTCATGTGGTCCGGCTCGTGTGGGCTTATCTCCGCCTGTTCCCATGTGCTGATTCTGAAGGGAACCCCGATAACAAGACAAAAGAGGCACAAGTGCGGTCTGTGTGATCGAACTCCCCTACTTTTTGATGGGGTGGGGTCCCCTAGCTGCATTTACCTTGTCATCCCCACAAAGAGGGCAAACTGAAAAACAACAGCAAACCCTGAAATTCCGTTGTAGTTCAAATTCCCCCTTTTTGTGCCCCACCCCCCCCCCCCTACCCCAATTCCACGTTGAAAAGGGGCGCACACGTGACCAAGCAGTGGCCAAGATGCCGGTCGACCTGGCTTCGGAGAACCTGCAAAAGGCCAAGCTGCGCATGCTGCTTGCCCCCCGGGGAACTGGACTCATTTGAAGGGCGTCGCACATCGCAAGACGAGACTATTTGGAATGGGACAATGTAGAAGCCCAAAATCAAACACTCACTTCCCGAGTGGACTGGCCAAAAGTCCATGCAGCTAGAATGGTCTTCCCAAAAAGAATAAAGTCTTGGAACTCAGGAAGTTAGAACAAGGCAAACAGGTTTGATGAAACTTCCACAAAGCCGGTTCTAGGGGCCTCCTCTTGTTGAACATGCCAAGATTTAAATCACTCGAATGCGAATCGTGGCACGTGAATGACATCATCACTGATCAGTTTAGTGTCGAACCATGAGCAACCTTATGGATTATTGGGGGTGTTCCCAAAAAAGTGAAGGATCCCCGATTAAACACATGGGACCCCTATTCATCAACCAGGAACTGGTTAGACACTAACGAACGAGTCAGGGTGACTTAACTTGGACCCAAAGGGCCAAACGTCGTAAGGTCGAGTGGAGCCAGGTTTGGTACCAGCCATGCACGCAACCCCCAGCCAGGGTGTCAAAATTAGGGGGTCGTTTCTGGTATCCTTTTGAGGTGCTGGCACCCTGAACCGCGCCGGGCCTGGTCTGGAGCCGCTCTTCACCTGCAGCGCTTTTTGCCGCGGGAGCAAAGCAAGAGTGATGTGTCGACTCATCCCAAGCTGACAGGCTGGCAGGGACAACGTGGAAGCTCCCTCTGGTCTAAAATCCGGCAAAGCGGGTGGAACGCCTTTTTTTGGGCCCCAGAGCCTCCGGAATCACGAACCCGTGAACAAGAACAACAGCCAGGCGCCGGGAAAACGCCGAGCAAGTTTGGGCGAAACTGTACTTTACCGTTTCCGGCCTGTTTGCAAGAGCTTCTGTGATCAAGTGCTCTGGGAAGTTCACATCCAAGCCCTAGTACAGTAAGCTAGAGATGGTTTCCACTGGTTGGACTCGTTCCTTATTACATTATTCTTAACTTTAATTAGAATTATACAGTAGAACTTGATGAATATATCAAGTAGGGTTCATAAGAAGGAAGTTAGAGATCCAAAAACTGTTAAGCTGCCCAAATGCCTACTGATCTGCAAAGACAATTCTATTGGACAGGAAATCCTGTGTAGCATCCATGTTGAAATAGAACAAACTGTATTTAAGTTCTACTTTCAACCAACACTTATGTTTGGATTCTTTCATTATTAAATAATAACTTGATGTGAGGTAGGAACTAAGTACAACTTGATAAATATATTGAGTAGAATTCGGAAGGAACGAACTTAGAGGTTCCAAACATGTTTAATACATGTTGTTTAGATGCGTACTGATTTGTAAGGACAATTGTATCAGAAAAGGAATCCCCGTGTAACAGTTATGTTGAAATAGAGTTTTTCATAATTGACAATCAAATTTGAAATTCTACAATTTGATTGGAGTCTTTCCTGAATAATTTCTAGTTAATTTCAGTTTGACATTGGGAATGATTTGGTAAAGATATTAAGTAGTTTCAAAAGGAGAGCATTCAGAGGTCCTAAAATCATGGTTTGTTGTGCTTACTAGCCCTAGCCCAGAACTACCATGGTCAGGAAACACCGTAAAACACAATGTTTTGTAGCGGTTTTCGTACTCAATTCATGATTTTGAATAGGATTTCAATAGGACTCAATAAGGACATACTTGATCCGAATCCTACTGGGAATCACATCCTACATTTAGAGTTTAGAAGTAAATCATTTCCCAATAGACCACTGCAATTAAATTAGAGTTTAAAAGTAATTTGATAAGGAATGAATCCAATCACAACTACTGTTTCATAATAGAATTTGAATTAGAATAAGTCTATTCAAAGGATAGTTTGCACAGTATGTTCTTTCATCCAAGCAACAATTTTACAATTCAGCTGACATTTAGACACACAATAGGCAAACATAGTTCAACCCTAGTTTCCGCTCCAAAAGTGAAAACGCGCACGCTCACAGCGTCCCGCTCTCTTTTCTTTTGGGGTAGTGGTGTTAGTGGAAACCGTCTTAGACTAAGAATGCTAATTAGGAAGGTACGGTAGAACCTTCGCCAACTCCGGCAATTCCATTCGCGGCCATGATTAGGCCACAGAACTGACGGCTGCCGACCCAGAAAAGCCAGAAGCAGAGCTTGGAGGCACGGGAAACCGTGAAACGGCACAGCCCCGCTCCACACCATGAAAGCAGCGCATTCGGAAGCTCCGAGGTAAAACCTTATCCATGAAATTCCCGCGCGGGCCTTCATAGGGGCCCTCTCAATCCCTCGGCTCGACCAGGCCTTGACGGTGTTGGCTTTCTCCAGTGCCCGCATAAACGTGCTCTTGCCTCGAAAAGGTGGGCAAGTGCCAGGGCCTGGGGCCAAAGAAAAAGCAGCATTCCACTCACTTCTAGACTTAAAAGGCGATCACGTGCTATCACCTTTTGGGACCTCAACAAGCGGTTGTCTGAAAGGGACAACCACAAGGTTCAAAGCTCGGCTTCGAACGACTGAGTCAATCGATATCCCCAAGGCTTGCGATTGCTGCAAGGCTTCCTGGCAGCTTGTCGAGGAGCGTTACCATTTTTGATGGTTTCAACAACATGTGCCTGAAGCAGACCCCTGCCATTGTTGGTGGACACACTCAAATGGGCACGATCGCATGACCAGAAGGTCGGAAGACGCTCCTATCCCGAGGGCTCCCTATATTTTGCCCTTAAACATGTTATGCAGAAATGGTCAAACCGGTGATGATGGTGATGTTTGAAGACCCCCTTTTGTCACGAGCAATCGGTTTGTGGCGCCTTCTTCCCGCCCTTGCCTTTTGTCGTTCTTTGCTTTGGCCTTCGCTTCCTGCCAAGAAGGTGCGGTGGCTCGACGCTTTGGACCGGGAAATCCGCACTCGCTAAATATTGTACGGGGGTCATGCCATGCTCCGTATATGGTAAGTGCAAGAAGGCGAATGTATGGAGAGGGGAGATCATGTGCTTGTTCTCCATCTGCGGGGAAGAGCGGCCGGGGGCTCCTTGATCTCCTCTCGAGTCATGCCATACCTTGGACCGGAGACTGCCCCCGCCGACCACTAGAGAGTCCACTTTAGTGGGTGGGAAGGGAAATCGTATCCTTGCTGCGGACCAATGGCCGTGCTACGACTCAATACGTCTTACCCCACAAGTGGAACGGGCCTTTCCTGCGAGATGAAATCTATCACACACACACACCCACACCCCCTTGCCAAGCACAAATGGAACCATCGCAAGGGTACAAGTTCGTGTTGAAAACGCGTTTTTTCAGGTTGGTTGCCTGAGAACCCAACTTGCAGCGGGCCACAAATAACTGGTTGTAGAATTCGAGATCTGGAGGAAACACATGCATCATCCTTTGCTGGTTCCTGTGGGAAGGGTTGGGGGGTGGGGTGGCAGCCTGTTGGCACCCCGCAGGCTGCACAAACTTGTCTGTTCTCCGCTTTTGTCTTCTTCTGAAGAGGGCTGCTTTGAGGAGGTGATCCATGTGCCCTTTGGCCACCACAACATTGGGAAACTCCAACAGGTTTCCCTGTGGCTTCCCGTGTTGACAACCCCTATAGAGGGATACCTCAAACAACACACGCGCGCACGCACGCACACGAAGACAGACAGACAGACGGACAAACAAAGGGACGGACGGACGGACGGACGGACAGACAGAAACACAGACAGACACAGAGACACAGACAGAGACAGACAAAGACAAACACAGACAAACAGAGACAAACAGAGACAGACAGAGACAGACAGAGACAGACAGAGACACACAGAGACACACAGAGACACGGAGACACGCAGAAACACAAACAGACACAAACAAACAACACAGACACAGACACAAACAGACACAGATACAGACACACACACACACACAGAAGCAGACAGAGACACAGAGACCCAGAGACCCAGAGACCCAGAGACCCAGAGACCCAGAGACACAGAGACACACACACACACACAGTAGGGAACACACGCGCGCCGCCCAGGACAAAGGGTAAACAGTCACAACAGTTACCACCAAGAATAGCTGACAGAAATCAACCCCTAGCCTCCTGCAAAGAGGAACCAACCCGAGATCGATTTCATGGTGGCTTGCAAAAATTGAAGGGCAGTTCCCAACTCTGAAAAAGTGGATAATCCCGCACAGGCAGGACCTACATCATAGCTCGCTTTGAGCGCCGAATCGGCGAGCTCGCGAATTAAGTTTCTAGGCAACACGCCCAAAAGCCGAGATGCCACATGTGCCCCTTGCCCCTCTGCCGCGGCGGCGGCTTCGCGGCCTGAAGCCGGGGCCGTTGAGGTTGGACGCATCAGATCTCGCCTCCAGTTGGTTTGCTGTGTTCCCGAACCGGGCTGTACATGGTACCCCGGGCAAGAACCACCGCGCGTCCCGCCTGCGGCTGGCGCCTTTGCTGTGTGAAGGAGGACTCCACAGGAAGGTCCTGCCAGTCCTCTCCGAATGGGTTGGTTGCGTCGCCGCCTGGACAGGAACTGGGAACTCGGACAATTCCCACGGGAAAGCACGCGGGGGACCCGCCTCCATACCGTCTTCCGCTTGTACCCACAAAGGGTATCCACCTCGTCCTTGTGTTCCTTTGGGCTTTGGGAATTTCTTCTCCAAGCTGAAAGGCTTGGCTTATTCGACCAACCCCCTCCCCCCCACACGTTGTCACAGCGAAGGGGGTTGAGACAATAGGGTCAGGTAAGAGAGGCTGAGAGCAAACACAGGAGAAGAGAAGGGAAACATGACTTTACCGCAAACAATGATAGGCAATGACGCTGGGAATCCTGTGACACTGGGACACTGGCAGAAGCTTTGGCTTTGCCACTCCCCAGCACTAACTACTCTCAACGCAAACCAACATGGAATCCCCACAAGATCCCAGAGGTCCGTTGGTCTTTTTGGGCATCCGCTGTTAATGGAGGGTTGGCCAATCCGAGTTCACAGCCCCGCAACAGGGAAATATGAAGCTTACCAACTAGACAAAGGGCAAACACCATACCCGGAGTTTTGATATTTCTCTCTGGAACCCCAAAGGGGGGTCCTTTCCCGCAGTTAGGAGATTCCTCCAATATAACATGTGTAACATGTCTTTGTTTTGTTTCTCGGGTTCCAGGTTACCAGAAAAGGTTGGGTGTCCTGTCCTCCGTTCCCTGAAGCCAAAAGCCGAGACCATCCGAGACCCCGCCTGACGTGCCGAAGGCCAGTTCCGGCATGGGGCCGCTACGCTCCTCCTGAACAGACAGAAGGGACCCCGGAGTTGCAGCGAAGGCAGCAGACGGATGGTCCCGGACCCAAGGAGAAACCACAGGGCGGGTTTGAAAGGGAAACCAGCTAAAAGACAAAACACAACGACCCATTTTTGATGGGCCCGCCCCCCCCATTTTTGAGATGACCCTTTTTGGAGGGTTCCGATGTTTCAGAGCCAAAACGCCCATCCCAGGTCACCTGCGCGACAAGCAAGGCAAGCAGAGGGGAAAAACCATCTGGCAGAGATCAGGCGCATTGATTTTGGGCCCCGGCGATTCCCCTTGAAATGGTTCTTGAAATGGTTGGGCTGTGGCGCGTCATGTCACCTCCGATTCATTTTTTTTGCAGCGAGGCCTCCTCGAAGTCGTCCATCGGCAGCTCCCCATCCTGAGACAGGGGCGTGTGGCTCCCGCAAGGAGCGTGGGCTTGGGCCTCATGGGCCATCGTCTGCTAAATATGTCGACAGTTAACCTCATTTGTGTTACAAGTGAGGAGGTCCTGGGGTCACATTGGAGGGTCATGTCTGTTGAGCTGTTTTGATTCAAAGGGAAGCCGCTTCAGGAAACTGCTGCTATAAAGCCACCCAGCCCAATATGTCCAAATGAGATTGAGACAAATCGAGGTCACCAGCCAGACGTTTGGCGGCCTATGACGGGCCAATCCCACTCAAAGTTTCACTAAACGAGCCACTCCAGTTGGTTCAAGAAGTGACCGCCAGGGGATAACTCACAAGGCACCCTGCTTTGGCGGCTGAGTCTGCGGGAAGCTCCCTCCAAAGGAACAAATGGCGTGTGTCCTGCAACGAAGCAAAGCCCCCGAGCACTTGGCCCAAACGGGCAGCACCTCTCCCGAAAGTTTACTATTATTGTTTGGGTTGCGAAGAGTGAACAAAGGGTCATGAGTCATGACTCTCCTCACCAGGCGAAAGAATGAAGGATTGAATTTGAACCAACCGGCCCTGAAAGCCATTTGCTTCCCAGGAGGAAGTGCGCCAACCACTTGGATGGTCAACCCACTTCGGTCGGTTAAACCCATACCAAACATCGGAAAGCGCCTCCAAGTTTATAAGCAATTTGAAAAGGAACTTGCAGCCTCCGCCGTTGCATGCAAGTATGTCGTGACGTTCAAGAGAAACATAACTCCAAAAGCAAACGGTTCCAACCACAAACTATGCATTCATGGTACCTTCAGGCCTCCATGGCGGAAGCCCTGAACCCCACCCACCTCCGGTGCCACGCCCCCCCGCGGAACCGCGGAACCCGGATGCCGGCCGAGCGACGTCCAGGTCCATGTTCCCCAGTGGCAGGTCGAAGGGGTCGCTGTCCGGCGCATAGCGTGGGAAGCGCCGCGCCGCGCTTTCCTGCGCCTCGAACAAGGGTGCTCTAAAACGGACAATGCGACCCGGAAAGCACAGGGACATCTATGCAGATGTGTACCCTTTGTTTGGTTTGCTATTCTCTTGAGCCCTGCCTCGGAAAACTGTCAAGAAGGAACCCTCAGCATTCAGAACGGGGGTCATGCTGCGGGGAATCATGCGCTTGGTTCACACATGCAGCGCCTTGGCCCTTTCGCCAAATGCTGAACACATGAAAAACATGTATTTTGATTTGGCAGGGAGGCGCCTGATCTGACGAAGAAGTGCAAACAAGTGACACCAATCTTGTGGAGGGAAGCAGTTTACTGTCACGTGCCAAGGAGCCCCGAACTCCCATCCTTCACCAAGAACGGCCCGCACCCCAGGAACATGCCGCTCACTCCAACTCCAACCCAAACCAAACCAACCCATCTTACCACAACCGCAACCCCCTACCCACCCACCCACCCACCCCCAGGGCAGCCCCCCGCGGGCGACCTCAACGGCTGGGTTCTGGGCTTCCTGAGCCTCGTCCAGCTGCCGCTCATTGTCCTCGGCTTCGAAGGCAGCAGAACCTACGAACTAACTAACATGGAGAAGTGAGGGTGCCCTTCTTCTGGAGGGTGCCTTTTCCTGGATGTTGCTTTTCCTCAAATGGGCGGCAAACCGAAGCCCACATGTGCCCAAGTAAAAGACCCACCGTGCGCCGGAGGCGCGATGAGCATCGGCCTGCGCATGGCGCCGGCCACTTCTGTGGCAGCCTCCTCGTCCTGGGAAGCCGACGGGATACGTCTCGCCGGGATTCGCCGGGTTCGGTGTTGGAGGCTTCAAGTTCTGCTTGGGCCCCCTTACCATATCAATATGAACACTATTGGTTTCTTGTCACAATGATTATAGGGGTAGTACGGTATTACTGTAGATGGTTGCGAAATCTGTTCGCACCACGAAATGAATTTCTTTCGTGGTGCAGGATTTTGTCCATCCACAGTAGGGGTTCCTCAAGTTCTGGTTAGGGAAACCGAAAGGACAACGACCCAAAAGAAGAAGGGGTCCCCCTCCTTTTTTGAGACAAACCCATATGAATGGACATTATTTATTTCGCACCAGTGATGAATGAGACCGTGTCAAGAGTGGGAGAAACCACCAATTGGTGAAGGAGTTTGTCTATCCACAGGAATCCCCCCCCCCCAACCCCCCGCCATCCCCCACCCTGGTCAATTGGTTGTCATCTTGGGGTCTTAAATAGATTTAGGTCCAGTTGCCCCTTTGGCTTGGTAAAGTTGCTTCGTACCTTCAGCTTGGATGAACTGGAAGGTATGTAGGTAAGAAATTGTCCACCAACCCGGCTGACAAGACAACGGCCGGGGTAGCCTACTGCCGCCCCCTTTCTATTCAACAAGCCACCAGCAAACATGCCTTGAGCTGACATCACCTTGTTGTAAAGATGAGGTGAGCTTGGGGCGGGAAACGCGGGGAGCCAGTGGTTGCCAAATTGGTCGATTCAGTGGATGCCAAGAGCATTTAGAACCCCACTGGGCCAAAGCGAATCAAGCTTTTACCTTTTTGTTTTTCCTGACTAGGTCCACATTCGGTCAAGGCTCTTTGAAAGGCGAACCTGTGACTTCCAGGTCCATTGGCCAAGAGGACGTGCAGTCCTAGTCTTGCTTGAAGGTATGGACGGAGGTCAAGAACCACTTGCATATGGCGTGCATACTGCCCTACAAGCTAAACTGCATGGCATGTATGCCCTAAAAGTTCCTTTGGGGGTAACAAATTCTGTTGCAGAACTGATCAGACCAAAAGGGAAACTGGGTGGAATCCACTGAACATGTGAGGAGTACTCCTTCCAAGGCATATTCATATACTTATATTTGAGGGGGGTTGCAAGGGACGAGGTCTGGAACAAAAACATTGCTTAAAACAAACCGAAGGGAGAACACACCATGGAGAAACACACAAACATGGTTGTGGACAATCACCCTTCCTGTGATGCCAACATACGCCATTTCCATGAGTTTGTCCTTTTCAATAGGGTTCCTTGATACAACAAACATGTGAGACTTCAAAGGGAAAGCCAACATGACTCCAACCATTTGGAGGGGGTCCAATTCGCTACGCATCCGTAGATGAAACTCCATGCTTTGGCACAACAAAAAGAGGCTGCTATGTGGGTTTGTCTCGAAATGGGGGAAGCCCCTACCATGGGTGCTTTGCTTTTGGCTTCCTTTAAGAACCTTCCAAAAAGGCCCTCAACAAAAGACAAATTCATTTTCCTTGGGTTAAGAACCACCTCTCCAACCCCAAACAGGGGTACCTATTCCTTTCTTTGGCGCTCTGTCTCTCTCCCGGCCGCACGCGACTTCCATCCGCCGATCCGTCGATCCGCACGCCTTGTCGGTGCCTGTGCGGCCGCCGGGGGCCGCGTGTAGCATGCCCACCGAGAAGCCCAGGCCGTCCGTCCAAGGCTGGGAAGGCACCTAAAGTCAAAATAGGACCACTTTGGGGTGGCTGTCCTTTTCGGTTTCCCTTTCACCTGGAAGGGGGGATGGTAAGTTGGCCATATCCCCTATGCCCCCCCCCCACCGGGTTGAGGGGTCCTAAAAAGGCTTTTGTGTCGTGTCTTTTGCCTTTTGCGGCTTAGTCAGTCTTGGTGGGGCCATATTTGGTCCATAGGGGGACTTTTAAAAGCGACCGCACCGACGTATGCAAAAGCACGACCGTCTCTCACGCTACACTAGCATTTCCCATGCCTGTGTTTGGGAGTTGCAGCTTCCCAGTTGCCCAGTGACCCCGTATATAGAGAAAGGGAAAACATGGCGGTTGTTGACTACTGTTCGTGGGGCCACTGAACAGCTGGGGGCAGGTTTAAACCTAATTGCCAGCTGGAGATGCATTGAACCTGACAGTTTCCCACACCTGTGGCAACCGATGCGGGCCAACGTTGCAACACTTGCAGGAAGGTCTTGATGTGGACTCATTGGTCGATCGGTTCTCCCCGTTGCGGTGGTTGATCACCGGTTCGCCGTTGAAGGACTTGTTGGAGGAAGCTTGAGTTGCTCCAGCTGGGCCAAAACCCAAGATTAAAGCTGAGATTAAGCAGGGGATGGGGGCAAGCGGGGTCAGACGCCGTTGGGTGGTTTTTGGCACAGCTGTCAGAGCTTCACCACGGGTTTGAGAATGAAATTCGGCCTCCTACTGATGGCCACTTCATACATGCGTCCAGCCGTACCCTCTCCATTCTTCCCTAAAACGCCAGGTTTAGAAACTCTGTGCCGCCTTCGCCGGCTCATCCATGGTGTCAGCATCCCACTCATCCTGGCCAGTCAGGAATCCATGTGGCGGCCTATCTTGCATCCACATTCTTTAGATATAGGCGGCTGCTCCCCGCAATCCCACTCCCCCCAAATTGGGACAATCACCTTGGGGTCGCAATTGGCGCAGGCCTCTCCGAGTTTAAGGCATTCCTCAAAGGCAGGGGGCGTTCTCCACATTGCAACTCGTCTCCACATTGCGACTCGGTTTCCCTTGCCACCATGAGGGAAAATTTGAACGTCAGGTCCAGCCTTCCCAAGGATCCCATGCGCGGAATTGGGCTCCAATGTAATCGGGTGGCATGCGTCTGAAGGCCAAAAGAAATCACGTATCACATGGAAGAGGTTTCCTTTTACGACAATTCCAAGTCACCTAGAGCCTGTGAGGTACCCAGATTTACACTCTTCATCAAAACAAGTACATCCAAAACTAGCACCTTCACCCTAAAAATTGGTCAAAATCAGCTGGAATTCGGGTAATTTGGCTTGGGCAAAATCCCGTACCCCCAGTGAACATCCCAATCCCGCTAAAATACACTAAAATAGGTGGTGCACCTACCCCATTGGTTTTGACCCACAGCCATTTGTTGCTTCATAACGCACCCAAGGCTTCAGAGCTTCCGGGGCTAGGCAGAAATCAATGGCCGGCCCGCGCGCGCCTCGCCCATGAGCTCCTCCTCCGGGGGCGCGGGCACAGTTCCCGGGAGCCCCGCCACCGGCACGGGGAACTCGTTCTCCACCACCTTCAGGCGCTGCGGCCCGTAGACGCCTTAGCAAAGCGGCCATAGGTGTCCCTTTGGATGGCCCTGGTAAACGGAAAAAAATATCCATCTAAACTAGTGCCTTCTATTTTTGACCAAACTAACCTAAAAAGGACACCTATGAAAGCGGCTGGTGCCGGCAGGAGACATCCAAAATACGCCAAGGGTTTAGTTTAGCAGGACATCCGCTCCAAAGCTGGTAGGGGTGATGTCGTTTTCATCGGTCTAAAGGCATCCGTTGAAGGGACCTTTAAAGTTGGTGACCCGATATCACACTCAACTTTCAACCTGAGACAATTGCAGGCCCACCCGTTGCTAGGAACACGTCTTCGTCCTGGAAAAAGTGTGTTTTCTTAGGAGGGCACCAATGAGGGAACAGGGGCAGGTTAAAGGCCGCCAATTCCCTTTTCAGGCTTTTTCGCAATGCTCTTTGATTCTCGCGCGTGCATATGCGCATTCCGTGTCTGGGCGAATGCGCATGCCTGCTAAAGGTTGTTTCTTTGTGGATTCTTCATAGCTACTGCTACTCCTCTTTTAGTTGGAGCCATGGTGCCATGTTGTGCCTTCCAAAGGGGTGCGAAAAGCGGTTCACAATGTTGAGAAGCATTCCTTTCTCAGTCAACCGCAAGCACAACCTTGTTTCATGGTTGAAGAGATGGAGCTTGCGACAACTCACCCTCCCGTCCCCACCTACCTGGATGGGCAACAGGCGTGAACCCGCCATCCAATTTACAACTCTGGCCATGACGTACTGACGGGTTAAACACGCAAGTGTGCGGGCGTGCTTGCGGGTACCCGGGTACCGCCCCCTCACCCCAACTTTTGATCTTAGGCAAGGCTCGGATGGTGACCTTGGACCGATCCATCGGCCGGCCCGCCGCCTGTGCACTGAGTGCCGCGAAGGACACTGCCACCCAGCCGAAGCCTCGACGATGTGTCGATGGACCCGTGTCCCCGTTTTGGTTAGGGAAGCCACCATGCCAAAGAGGCGCTTTGAGGGGTGGGGGTGGGCGCTTAGTATGGTCTCATGAGAAGGGGTCAAAGTACTGCCTTCGGTGCTGAGGAATTCGGCTACCCTGTCTCGGCAACGTCACGTTTGCTCATGTTTGCGCAATGGAAAACGTGTGAATTTGATCCCTTGCTCACTAGCTCGTTAAAAGCCGGCCAGCTTCGCATCACTTCATTGCGGTGTACAGGCCTAAAGCTGACAAGTGCTTTACCCCTCTTTAGGCCCCAAAGCACGAGTGCTAATTAGAGAAAACTCCTTTTCGATCCTTTCTGGTTTCCTTCCATGAATTTGCGCGTGGGTATTGAAGTCCTTCTTTGAGCTCTGAGACGCTCTGGGGGGGGGCCCGCTTTGGTCAACATGGCCCCCTTCCAGGAGAGATCCTCGAAACCCCCAGGCTCATGATGCCAGATGAACAGTGGAGGTCGCAGAATGAAAGGGCCCGTTTTTGATGGCTAGCCACACACACACATATATATATATATATAAGCATATATATACATATATATACATATACACACACACATATATATATATACACATATATATATACATCCTTTTTTAGTAGAAATCCGAGCAGGAACACATCCAAAGAGTGCTACTGAATTGGGTGTCCAGGTCCGCTGCACTTCCGGTCCCAAGCAGTGGCTCAACGCAACATGGTAGGCGCACCGAGCAAGGCCGTGGCACACGCTTGACACAATAAAATGCCCCAGAACGCCACCATTCTCTGAGCATGGCTTTGCAGCATCGCCCAAACAGGGTGGATAATTGGGATCTGTCTTGAGATTGCGGAACCCCGGCATGGATGGTTTCCTGTTGGTCTCCCTTTAAAAATAACCCCACAGAAATACCCTCAAAAAGAAGACACTGCCAATTTGTGCAGGACTGCTTGTAACATCTTCATCCTTGAGCACATCGGAGCACACTGTCCCGCGCTTTTTGCCACGCAAGCGTCACACATTGAAGCCACCAACCAGCCGCAGGCAGCACGTGAAAGTTCAATCCACTTGAAAGGCTCTAACCCTGGAAAAACTTGTCGCCAACCTTTGTCGTCCTCAACCCCTCCCCGCCCGCGCCTGTTAGCGATAGGTCCGCCATGACCTTCCCATCCAGGCTCAGCTTGTCTGGCGTTTTCACGTAGCCTCAAGCAAGGCTTGGCGAGTCAGGCCAACAACTCACATATTTGCATATATCCATATATATACACATACCCATTTGCCTAATGAGGACTAGGCTCCCCTCTACATCAAGTTTGGACACAAATGCGACTAAGTCCCGCGGAGGGTGAGGAACTTGAAACCATGGTTTGCCTTTCGCGTTTTGGTGGGGCTCAATCGAGGGCTCGCCACTGGTTGTGTTTGGCCGCACCTCCCAGCGGAAGATGCCAGCAACCTACGAGATACCATGAAAGCCCATGGAGGACACACTCAACCCAAAGGATGGTGGAAGCCGCCCTTGCCCCTCCACCTAGTCTGGGCTTGTCGATTGTAGTTTGCCGGAAGGAAGGATCCTTGGCAGGGGGGAGTTCCCCTTTTCTCCCTTTTGGAGGTGGGTAAGCTAGCAAAACGACACCACTACCAACAAGGTGCATGTTGAGTGTGTCTCTCAAAGTCTTTGGGCTCCCTTGAAACATCTTGAAACCAACCCCGCCCCTCCCAAAAAAACAAAAAAGAAAGTGATAAAAAGAAAGAAAAGACAGACACACCTCATCCACGCACAAAACGCCCTCCTTGGCCGCGCGGCAGATCTGCGCCAGTTCCATGTCCTCCGGGGGGTCCGGGTAGCCCCGGCCATTCTCCGCGGCGCCCGGCACGTTGGCCTGGCATCGGACCACCTCGGGACGTGCAACTGGCGCCCAGCGGGGGATTTCCATGGGGTGTCGATTAATTCTAAAAAGATTCCAAGAAGCATTATGACACTAATAAAATGAAAATAGGAAATGATGAAGATGTAAAGTGTATGACCTTTCTTTTTCCCATGCCATTCCTATCTCTTGGAAGCTTCTATCTTCTACTTCTTCATTTTGGAGAGGTTCTTATCTTCTTGGTCATTATCTTACCCGTCAATGATAGAGGAATCTCCAAATGCTGCAAACCGCGCAACGCTCCCCGAAAAATCCGAAGAAGTGGCCGACGTCCTTTTGTGTTGGGAGGCTTCCCACCAGACTGTTTTTTAGAAACACCCCCCCTCCGGGGGTTCTCTAATCAGAAAACATGGCTGCCCTTTTTCTTGGGAAGGTTCCAATCTGAGTACCAAGCGGGGGGGATGTCCGCCAGTTGTAGACACACCCGACTCCCCCCCCCCCCCAATTTCACTGGGGGGTCTCAGGTCTCAAAATCTAAGGGTGGCGCCAGGTTGTGGACCCCCACGAAGGAGAGCTTCAGCATGGCGCTGATGGGCCCAAAGACCTCCCAGCGACCAGCACCCTTGCTTGGCATTTCTGGACATGCAAAAAGGAAACCAACCAACAGGGTTACAACTGATTAGTACCCCCCCCTCCCCCCTCCTCCCCCCTTCAAGGTTGACAAGGTTTGGCGCTGACATGGGGCTGAGGGCGTTTGCCGGGTTTGTGAGAAACACCAAATTGCAGCTATTGCTGTTTAACCATGATTCGTGCAAAACAGGCTGCTGGCTGAACAACTGGCGATTCCCGTTCCCCGAACACTGAGTTCTAAGGAAGGAATGCAATCTTGGGAAGGGAAGAGGTCCCATTCCGTACACTCCTCCTGAAAAAATAACTGGACCCCACATCACCGTCCCGTTTGGGAAAGTGGATCCCTGCCGTTGGTTGGCAAAGTGCGCTCCCACCAACATGGGTCCACGTGCTTACTTACCTCTTTCAGCAGGGCAAAGGTCCTGCCAAGCCTCAACCTCCCCCCCCCCCCAAGCACCACTTCCGCTTGTCCCCGCCCGCGCACTTCCAGATCTCTAGTGGTTGCCCTACACGGCATCTGGACCCGCTGCCTCCACAGCCAGGACGGGGTCTTGCCCAGGGAAGCCCCACAAGTACCGCACAGAGCGCCCCAGCCACTGCCTCACGAGAGGAGGGTATGTTCCCTGGCTTGAAAATGATCGTTAAGAGCCTTACCCACTGACCCACTTTTGGCCCTTTTGAGGTTCCTCCTTCCCTTCACCCGCCAGTGAGCTTGCCACGAAAAGCGGATCAGTCTGGAAGCCATGGTGCCACTATGATCTACTCTCCCGACACTGGTTGAACATCCAAGCGGGATTCTCTAGATGGGTTGGTCAGAACATGGCTCCTCACACCCAATTACAACCAGTCACCCCTGGAAGACAAAAACGTCAAGCGAACCCTTTCTGGGGAAGGGGCCGGTCCCATGTCCATGGTCCCCAACGATCGTCCAGGCCGCTGGGTGCAACCAGCGCAACTAACATAAAACACTATGTCTCGCTGGGCTGGTTGCCATGTGCCACAAACCAAAGCAGCCCAACTAGAAAAGCTGCCCTGGAACAGCCAACCGCCATGAACTTCAAATTGCCTAACTTGACACAAGGGATAGTCACTCGGTAACCTTCGGGGCCAAGGTCAAAAACCAAACCCTTGTGAGGTCGCAAGAATGTATAATTTGCCCACCTCCCCCCCCCCTCAAGGCAGCAGGGCACTGGCCCTAAGTTTGGCTTCCTCAGTTTTCCCAAGAGGAGGAACGGCTGTAGGACGTTGTTTGACCCACGTTCCAACCACCGTGGCCCAGCATATTCCACCTTCAACAATCACCCCCTTTGAACTGGCAGCGCCCTCGGGAAAGGGAGCGTTCCGAAAGCCGTGGCCCACGTCTTTGCGACGAAGTGCTGCAAATTCTCCTGAGACACCGCCTCACCGCTGGCCTGGCCGAGCGAGTGCGGGGGTGGGGGAGTCTAAGCCCGGACCCCTATGTGGATTTCCATGGGGAAAAAATGTCTCTTTCACTTGCGAACATGGCAACGGTGGGAGGGCAACCTTGAAGATAAATGTCCTCTTGAAGGGACCCCCTGTCAGGTGCCATGTCCGTGGAAAGGAGGTGGTTGTTTATGCTAACGGGAAAGACCTCAAAGACAAACGGAAACGGGGTATCACCATCTTCGCGTGATACGTGTACAAACACTACAAGGGACCAACACACCTTGAGTTGTGGGTGGGGGTTGGGGGGGCAGCGCGAGCAAGAAATGGCCCGCAATACCGTGTAATTGAAGCTGCGCTCAACAGAAGTTCTCGCGGCCGAGTCCGAGCACAAGGTCATGCGCATGGGGTACAAAACAGAAGGAAGGTACGGAGCGCGTATTGAACATCAAGCATCGGAAAACCCCAGCACATATGTCCAAATGGCACAAGGAGAAACGGGCCTTCTTCTTGCAAAACATGGAGTGGGTTCGTCGGGAAAAAACAACCAACAGAAGAGCAAGCAGGGCTCACAAAAATGTGCATTAAAAGGCGGAAGCTTTATGTCCAATGCTATATTGGACCACCCCTCACAACGCCGCAAAGGTCGGCCTTCAACTCAGATAGGACATCCTTGGCGGGCGTCACCGTGTGCACCGCAAAGCTCCTCGAGATGCGGAATAGAAGTGGGTGCTAAATATATTTTTTCTACTGGTTGATTCCCCATTCTTTCAACCATCGTTCTTTTCAATTTCTGCTGGGGTTCTGATGGTTTTCTGAAAAGAAGGATCCCTGGAAAGAATGGGAAGTGTCCCCTAGAAATAAAGGGGTCTAGAACAAGCAACAAATTGACAATCCCCTATTAGCTTCTCTTTGGGACGAGTGACCTACATTGGCTGTTTGGCACCCGGCAAACCTTGGCCAACTTTGAAAGTGCTCAATGTTCATTGATGTCATTTCAGTTCATTTCAGACAAGTTCAATCATATAAGGTATTGGCCCAGTGTGGGTCATGACCGGCCTCCAACAATATTCGACCCCTTCTGCGAGCCCTTTCAAATCATCAAGCCTTTTGTGACGCACTTAAAGCTGTCATCAAACCTTTTGTGACGCACTTAAAGCTGTCGCAAGGGGGCCTTGGGGTTAAATCACCCGCGGCACAAAATAATACCAAGGCACACATCATGCGGTTTGCATGGCCCGGCCCCCCCCCATGGGCACCCTTTTTGTACGTTCCAGGAAACAGCAATACTGACATGGCTGTGGGTCAAAACCAATGGTGCCATTTTGGGGTAGGTGCACCACCCATTTTAGTGGGGATTGGGATGTTCACTGGGGTACTGGCCACATGCCAACCGAAGGAATGACACAAGTTGAATTCCTTGCCTACTGCGTCGTGGCAATTAGAATCATTTGGCGCGTTCACGGCCGGCGCGGTTTACTCCGTGGAGATGCTTCCTTATTTTCCCAAAGTCCAACAACTGCTGATGTTCAATTTTGAAGAAAAGGTGCCATCCAATGCAACCTGTCGCATCTCCGGGTACACGTGCTCAAGACTATAATCTAAAATGTGACTTGCAGGGGTTTATCCTTCCAAAGTAAATTGTGAAACCTCTTTTCAAGGGGCGAACTGCAACACTCGCAAAACGGTGCCGAACCGGCCAGGACCTGGTCGGCTGCACGTAGTTGTACCGCTCGATGTCCAGGAGGTTCTGCAAGCTGTTGGGCTGATGCACGCCTGTGAGGGTGCCCCTTTCTGCCCTTGCCAAAAGAAAACCCTGTTAGGGGATGCGCAGGGTGTTTGGCTTTGGTCTGGTAGACATGGGTACCGTCATGGTACCATCCCTCTCGTTGATTCCATCTTTTGGTGCGAAACTCACCTAGGTCCTCCAGTAGAAGAGTACCCTTTTTTTCTGTAGTCTATTTTAGTAGGGGAACCCTCCCCCAAAAAGGGGTAAAAGGGCTCTGCAGGGGGACTTAGTCACCAAACAAAACGGGAACAAAGTGTATGACAGTCTCTCCCTGCCACGTTGCCATGCACCCGACAGGAAGCCGGTCCCTTCAAAAGGTGAGATTAATCCTCCAGGTACTCTGCTACAAGTGCCATGTTTGTGGGAGGAATGGCAAGAGTACTCCAGGAAACCTTTAGGCCCTACAGACTGCTCGCAACCTCTTGCCCACATGCTGTCGCCAAAAAGCTGGCACTGTCTTTCATTTTATCGCGATGTGTGTGCTGTTTTTTTTTTTTTTTTTGCGGTTTCTCTGTTAGTTGCTCGCCTCAAATGGATGGCAGTTCAGCTGGCACTTCAACGCCTTCCTATTTCCCACATGCCCCAATAACACGCACAACCACAGACCGCGGCCAAGGGAACACAAGGAACTCATTCAATTGGCCACCCCCCCCCCAAAAAAAAAAACAACCGGGACAAAGAACCCTCTAAATGCAAAATGGTCTTCCAGGCACCTCCAGTCAGGTTCCACCTGTGTTGGAGTTGGAGCGCAGAAAACCAAGAAAGAAGCCAGAGGAATGCAAACATGAAATCTCAACTACTGGTCCAGGTACTTCAGCCCCTTCTTGACCCAAGGGAGAGGAAAGCAAAACAAACAAGCTGAGGCGTGGCCCACTCCGGCTGGCCCACTGGCCGTAGCTTCCGCCTGGGGTGTCGTAGAGGGCCGCGAAGACCGGGGAGGTCGCGGAGCGCCGGAAGGCGCGCATCTGGATCAGGCCCAGAGTGGTGCCGGGGGTGCGGGACACCAGCGGCCGCTCGCCTCGGGCGTGAGGAACGCGAGTGGGTCCGTGGGCCGCGGTTTTGCCCCGCGTGCCTATATATATATATATATATGTATATATGCTCGCCCCCCCCAAGACCATATGTTTATATATAGTTTTAAATAAATCGTTCAACACCAAGATCCTTAAAGTACTAAGCACCACCACCAAAAGCTTCCCTCCACGGCTTCCGAAGGGCAGTTCTCCACCTTGCCCTGCGGAAACTTCACCTCCAAGCGGTCCAAGAGCCGCCGGATGAAGGCGCTCTTCCCAGCGTTGGCGGCGCCCACCACAAACCTTGGAACGTGGCACCAGGGGTAAACCTCCCGCTGCTGCAAACTAACAGAAGGAACCCGTCCAACAAAAAGCAAGAGGGTCTCCCTCCTCTTCTAGCCCCCCGCAACCTGGCAGGACATGCAGGGCATGCAGGGCATGCAGGGCATGCAGGGCATGCAGGGCATGCAGGGCATGCAGGGCATGCAGGGCATGCAGGGCAAACGAGTTTGGGCGAGCCCTAAATTAACATGCACATATTCACCCAGCTGGCCACGTGCAAGGATGGCTGCAGCTCCAAGTTTTCACGGCGCACTGGAGTTTGGTCGACCGCATTGCCAGGTGGCACGTCCATGCCTGAGCGATGCTCGATGATGGCGTTGACTGCGTAATTGATGCCCTTGCCCGTCTCGTTGCTCACCAGCTGCACCTCACGGGATGCGATGCGCACCCCACAAAGAGGAAGCGGGCGCCGTTCTGCCTATGAAACCAAACTTCCCCCCACCTATTGCTTGGGTGTCCGTTTTGGCAATTGATCGAATCAAAGGGCAGCTTGACTAGGGCCTGCAAAAACCTTTGACTAGTTGGGTTCTGTTTGGTAATTAGCAACCCAGTTCTTGAAAGAAACGCCAAGCCCGGTTTAAGGCCTGCGGCGGCTTGCGTGCTGGAAAACGACGCTACACTGTGCGCTAGCTGGGGTGCTTATCCTCAGTCATGGTTGGCAGCGCAGGGTGATATATAAACAAGGACATGGAAGAAGCGAATTCTATTGCACATGCTGGCCGTCCAATAACAACCAAGCCAGCTCAAACAAAAGGCCAGCATGGCCCAAACGAACGTAGACATTATCCAGCAAAGAATTCATGGGCAAAGGTGAGGCCCCTTGAGGCGAGCAATCAAACATCTGCCCCGCAAGGAGGCACCACCTAACAATCTGCAGACCACCAAGTTGAAGCCCAAAGGAGAAATTCAAGCAACCGGTAGCGGCCCTGGCCCCATTTTGCCAGTATCAAGTCACCCTCCGGCATACTAGCTTCACCTCAGCTCCTGACCTTGACCTAACCATCAAAATAATTTCTCCATCAGCGCAGGTGAGGCTGTTGCAGGCGCCCAGCTTTGGGGCCTCCAAAGCCCTAAGCTTCTTCTTCCGCAGGATGTAGAGTAGCCAGTTCTTCACCAAGTCCATGTTGGTTCTGGGCGGGAGCAGGTCCTCACGGCAGCCACTTTCGGGCCAGAGAGAGTCCCAGAATCTCCAAAAGGGGCTGGGGGGGGGGGGGGGAGAAGGGTGACAACTCGTCATGGAGACTCCAAGTGTGTCAAAACGAGCTCGGGGACTGCGGACTTCAAATTTCTCGGGAGGGAGTTTACCTCTGAGAAGGGGGAAGCATGCATCAACCAGGGCTTGAAATCCTGGGAGCGAGCAGACAGCTTCGCCAGAGATGGAGGATCCTCGAATCCTCGTAACCCGCCCCTTGGGCCGCTTGGCACGCAAACCGCTTAGACCTCTGTGGGGCCTCAAGAAACACACGTCCCGCCCCCCCCCCCCCCACTCGCATAAGCCAGGCTGCGATCTTGGTGCCGACAATGATCACCGGGTTTTTGCCCACGATCTCCCGGATCTTGCCTAGCGCCAGCCCGCATCCCAGTGGACTGCTGGCCTATGGGCTCGCACTGATTTCCACAACCCAAACCCCGAACCACTGCTATCAGGGGAAACGATGTAGCTACATATATGAGCATATGTCTGTCCCCTTTCACCCATCCCTGCGGAAATAGCAGTTCCAATGTTGGAAAACAACGTTGAGGCTAAAAAGGGGCATGGCTGCACGTGCCTACGTGCCATCTGACGGACAACCTCAAGAAACTTCCAGGAAGTCGTGTGCCTCGATGCCTGGAAAAACACGCATCGGCTCGTACATTCATAGGATCCCCTCCCTGCATATAAAGCCATAGTCACGCCGTATTTGGAGGAGATTCAGAGAAGGGGGGGTTTGGGTGGGGGGTGGATCCTATGATTCATCCAAAAGCATGTCAAACCAGTTCGCGGACCGGACCGAAGCGAATGAATCCGGCAGAGCTGCGGATGAACGAGCCATTGAAATCCAGCACGTCGACCACATACCTGATCATGGTTGGGCGAAAAACATGTAGCCAAGGGGAAGCCCTTCCCTATGTGACTAGTTTATGACCTAACAAGGGTTTCCCGGCTCCTCGTAGTATCACCGAAAGTGGCAAAAGCCCAATGTTCAAAGGATACACTCCGAAAGCTTGCTTTGCAGGGGGATCCTTCAAATAAGCTTGAAAAGTTCTCTTAGTCCGCACTCAAAATGCCGAGGCGATCAAGCAATTGTCCTGCTCCCTCCCTCTCTCTCGTTCGTCGCGGATGTTTTCCAGCCCCGCGTGCCTCTTTCCAACCCCCTACCCCTTGCTCCCTCTCCCTCTCTCTGTCTCTAGCCTCCCTCTCCCTCTCGCTCTCGCTCTCGCTCTCCGTTTTTCTCTCCGCCTCCGTCTCCCTCTCTCTCTCTGGCTCTCTCTTCCGCTATGACAACTGGCTCCCGGGGGCGCGGAGCTTGGAAAGCAGCATTCATGCGATTGAAACCTGCATCGTGGTCAATATACGCACGCCAAAATTCCAAAGGGTCCCACTACCCCGTGAGGAAAGCGGGTATGACTCTTCATATGGTGACTATGTATATATATATATATATATTGGGGGGTAGTGGTTTGGGGGCAGAAGCCATCATAGGGAAATTGGCTTTTAGCTTCATGGTCTATTATTCAACTTCTTGGCAAAGCTCACCCCTGTCCCCCGACTTCATCTGCACACCTATTGGCAAACCCATAGCTTCCAAGGGAAACAAACAATATTCATTTGGGCAAACGGGTGATAGATTTCTTCAACACGGCGATCCAAAAAGGGACCATCCAGGCACGCAAGCTTGATCACATATGATGTTTGTTCTCCAGGCGGCACGACCAGGCACCGGCGCTTGCGGATGGTGGCCAGTTGGGCCGCCAGAACATCCGCCGGTACCACCTGCGCCGATTGGTTCGGCGAGCCTTCTGCGACGATAGAGGTGCCGTCCAACGTTTACTGTCGTCTACGGTCAATTTGGGAGGGACCTCAAGAAGTCCAAATTTCCAATAAGGGGGCCGTCTAAAGTCCACGAAGGGTGTTGCAATGTTTGCCCATGGCACATTTCGGTGCGTCTGTTTAGGAGGGTTATTTTGGGTGGTTTTCAAGACACACCAAGAGCAAAGAAATCAAACATTTTTCTTTGGCGGGGGGGGGGGGGTGATCAAAATGGATTTCCGCCCAAAGAGAAACCCAACGTCTACCATGAAACTGCCAAGCGACCGGGTGACACTCGAAACGTTTGTCATCGCATTGCCATGGAACCTGAACTGAGGTCCTGGCCTACACCTCAAAGAGAATTGGTGGTTCCATCGCAAACCTCCAGAACTTCATTCATTTGGAGAACCATGCCCATAATTACTAAGCAAGTCAAGCCCCAGAATTTCATGGACCTTCGTCGTAGGTGACTTCGTTTCAGCGAATTCTATCCATCGCAGGCCCAAATTGGAACCCAAGCGCGCGCCTGTCCGCCAAAGCCCACCTGGCCCTCGGCAAGCGTCTCCTGTGGATCTCCAAGGCTGGGCTGGGACTCTTTTTGGGCACCCCTCCGGCTTTGTGCGACGCCCAACATGAGATTGTCCTTTGGGCATAAGCCAACAAATAGAGGTCAAGAAAAGCAGGCCCGAGGTTAAAAAAGTGAGGGCCCGGTGTCCCCTTCTCTTTTTGTGGGGGCCGCCTCTAACTGGTGGTTTAAAGGGGGTGAGGACCAAAAAGTCATTTTGAGAACCCCTCGAAATGCACATCGACTCGACGGCGAATACGTTCGCCCGGGGATTCCTTCACCACTGGAACCAGGCTGCCCTTCTCCAGCTGCAGACAGCGGGAGCAAAGCAACTTGCCTGGTGGCAAGTTGGGATGTCTGGAGGGGCGATCTCTATATTTGGGCTATGTGGGGTGTCGTTTTTGAGGGCACCTTTTTGGGGGAGGCGACGCGAAACTAAAGGATTACAGGGATAACCATCACCATCTTTGGGGTCCCCCTTTGAGACAAACCCATATGCACAAGCCAACCCAGGGATCTCCTTCAGATACTCCTGAACGCAGCTTGCAGAACAAAAGGTGGTGGTTCAAATCACCAATCGGAGAACGCACGACACCCGAAAGACCTCTGTTCTGCGTCCGTGCAAAACACATACACGTCCTGTTGGCCCGGATGAACCAGCCCTGCGGATGAAATAAGGGATGTCGAGAAGAAAAATAAGGGGAAAAAAGGAAAAACAACTAACCCCCCCCATGTATCAACTAGAGGGGTTATGAACCCTGGCTCACATTGTCCGGAGCGATGCAGGTCCACCCCTTGGATTTTCCGGCCGCGTAGCAAGTAGGCTGCAAGGCGATGGACCAAATCCTGCACCAATTTGAAACCATAGGAAACCATCGTTTGCTGGTATTCACGAGGAAAACATCATTCCAGGGTGTCTTAGGTGGTGCAGGGTTTCGTCCATCCACAGTATGAGCACCCTCCCGTGTCCCATTTGATCCCATGCGCAACCACGTACTACAATCTGGACAAGGAAACCGCCAGGTATGCTCGCCCGGAAGGTCATAACTCTCAATTTGCTTCATCTTTCTGGCAAATCAATGTCAGTGGGTCCCTTCAAAGCCAACATGAAATGAAACAGCCTACTTCCAAAGACAGGCGATTTCCGGTCCCAGCGGCGGTGCAGGCGGCTCGCCCACTTGTCCAGGTACTTGGCGAAGCGAACGTAGCCTCGAATCGGTCGCTCCAAACCCCCGAAGCCGGAGGGTGGAGCCGAGGAAAATTCGACTCACTGGGCACTGGGAAGGCGCGAAGTACTTGCCTGAGGCACTTGGACCGGGCATTGTTGAACGTAGCTGAAGGTTGCCATATAAGACATGTATACACAACAACCAGGCACGTTCCGAGTCACTCCCTGACAGACTGGACCCGTCCTTTGATGCGAATGTGTTGATTTGCGGCCTGGCACAGGCTGGACTCCTTGAGAAAATGGGCACCATTTGTTGATGCCTTCATCTTAAGGGGGTCCCCTGGAAAAAGACAGCGGCACTGCAGGTCTGTGCTGATGGAACTTTCAGATCTATGCTGCACACGCCAAGATGGCTGAAAAGAATGTTGAGGGTCCCAAACTCGAACTTGGATGGCCAAAATTCCTTAAGTTGACTTGTTCACCAGCCCCTGTTGACCCTCTTGGGTACAAAAAAGGGAAACCAGGGCTTCCAAAAGCCATTTTAGGGGACCGCCCTTTTTTTTTAATGAGAAACCCCCCATCAAAGGTAGCCCTCGACCTGGGGCTCCAGGGGCTCCGGGGTCCCAGACCCACATTGTCGGGGTCGTGGGTCTGCAGTGGCACCCCGCAGCCCCGGCAGCAGACCAAATGCTCCAGGTGCTTCCCGGCTTTGGTCATGATCTCCTAAGAGCAGATCGGGCCCCAAACCAACAAGGTAAGGGGAGGGGTTGGCTAAGTTTGATCCGCAACCCGAAGTCGCACACCAATTCACCAAAGGAACCACTACTGCAGATGGACTTTAAGATCATCCCAAATAGAAGTCTGCAAAGCTAGGCGCATGCGCACAAAGTCAAGGGTTGCAAGTGGCCGCTGCTCCCCTTCAGGAAGAAATCGGCGCAGCACTCGCACCTCTCTGATCTTACAGAACCGCCAACTTTGTCGGCCTTTGGCTGATCGTACTTTTCAATCTAAAAAGAAAATACGGAAGGGTCATGTTGTTTGTTCTTCTTCTTCTTTCTCATTTTTTCTTTTTTCTCTGAGCCTTTGGAAAGACAAGCGAAAAGGACGGACCTCTGCCCAAGGCAATCGAGACGAGGCGCCACACCCTTGGTAAGGGGGTTGTCATAGTGAGGGTCGAAGCGGCCAGTGTTTCTCCTGCAAAAGCAATAAGTGGAGATTGGCAAGTGCATCTGAGAATGTCATACCTCCTCCATGACCCCTAAAACAGAAGGGTCATGACCCCTCATAGGCTCCAGGCAGGTCCAGACATATGACTGTTCCCAACTGTACAAAACGAAAACTTCTTCATGGCGGGGCGAGCTCAGCTCAGCTCGGCATCATTGTCCAAATAAATGAGATGTGCGACAAACTGCATCATTCAAACGCCATCAGCTGGGAATCGAATGATCTTCTCAATGGCGCAGCTGTGTTTCCTTAAGTGCTTGTTACTTGTGTACTCTTGAATTACTCACTTCCTGAGCGGACTGGCCAAAACAAGCTCAAACTTTTCTGCTCCTAAACTGGTCTTCCCAAAAGTGTAAAGTCCATGACTCAGGGAGTGAGAAACTCAGCCACCAGTACACTAAACATGGGACCAAAAAGCACCATTGGCTTCTGTCCTGTTCTCCGGCACCTCCTGCTCAATCATGGCCTGGCAGATTTGCAGGCCAGCCGCTAGACAGCCCAAGCCACCCCAGAGCCCTTGCAGCTCGAGCCCCACGTAACCTAAGGAGGTGCTTTGAAGGGATCATGGCACCATGAATCAGGGGCTTCTCAATCCTGGCATTCCATCCTTCACTCGCATGTGCCATGTCCCACCTCGAGCTGCTCGTCCGTCGGAGCTCGCTTGTGACCGATGAAGGGCACGTTCTTCCTCAGCTATCCGCAGATCCTGCCAATGGGGACTGGATTCTCTCAATGCCTAGAACCAGCTTTTCGAGTGTTCTCTGTGTTCCTCGCGGCAAGTTGAATTTGCGCATGTCCGGCTGGTTGTCGAACGTGTGTGGCACTGCAGCCTGCATTTGAGGCCCACCCCCCACTTTCACAACTTGCAAAGAAAACACGTCGGTCGGGAGGAATCTTCTGAAGCCCAGGGAGCAAAACTTCAGCTGCCATGTAACTGGGGCGGGCAGGGGCTGTACCGCTAAAAAGGTAGAGGCATAACTAAGACCCCTGCACGCTGCAAGCAAAACAACGACCTTGTTATTATGATCTATCTTTACATGTAGAGAGAAAGGGGGAGAGAGAGAGAGAGAGAGAGAGAGCGAGAGAGAGCGAGAAAGCTATATACCCCATGCATGAGGTGCAATCCTTCCGTTTTGTGGCTGGCCCCCCCCCCCAAAAAAAAAAAAAAAAAAAAAAAAAACAGGCGACCTTAACCATCAGAAAGCCCCCCCCCCACCTCCCCCCGCAAACCCCCCACCCCCATGGCCCATGTCTTTCATCCGCGGCGCGTGCTGGGCAGGCGCTTGGGCGCCGGCTGCAGCTCCAAGCGTCTCGGAAACCCGCGCAGGTTTGGGGGGGAGTTTTGTTTTCAGGGGTGTGTCTTATACCATGGACCCCCCCCCAAAAAAAGTGGGGTCTTTGATTTTCTGGCGGTCCCTTTGGCACCAGAAAACCACTTCAAAAATGGCACCCTACAAAAAAAAACTCGCAATCAGACGTGTCCTCGTTTGAACCCAACAGAAGACTAAGTTTGCATTCACCAAAAGGTGATGCTTGAAATCACTAGGGGCAAGTATAGCCGCCGTTCTTTTAAGTGGTTTGGCTTGGTTTGGTTTGGTTTGGAGGTTGGGGGGTGAACACGTGCCCTTGAGGATTGGCTCCCCTTAGTACAAGCCCGTATGGAAAGGAAAAACAAAAAACAGCTAGCGGAAAACAAAACCAAACTACTGCTTGCGCATCAAGACTTACCCATCTCATGAAGGAAACCCAGTTAGACCGGCTGCTAACCGTCAGGCTTTTTGGGAGGCTTCCACGTCAGAGTGGAGTAGAAGACCTGACACCTGATCTGGGAATGGCAGAGCCCAGATTTCCTTCGCCAAAGGCCGCATTGTGAATGAAAAGCGACGCAGGTACCGCAACGGTTTCACCATGTCTGCTTGAAGAAAGCAGAGCAGCATGCCTATCCTCCAACAATCATGGAAGCTGACCGGGCTGTTTCGGAGGCTATCTCGATTTGGGGAACGCTCCTGGGCACGTCCATGCTTGTTGGAACCAGACCCCTTTCAAAGCGAGAATGGTCTTCCAAAAGGGGGCGGTGTGCACCAAGTGATTGTTGGAAGGAGGGCGCTTGGCATGCACATGTAAAATAATACAAATGGAAACAGAAATATTTACACGCGTAAGTCGGGTTTCGTTGAGTTTACCGCCAAAGGGCAACCGCCCAAACGACGTGGCTTCGGGGTAAGGGGCTTGAGCCCACCACTCGCTCAGGGCAAGCCACTGCCGCAGCTTTTGCATCTCCTCGTCCACCTCCTCCTCGAGCTCCTCCAAATCTAAGTCCTCGTCCTGCCAAAAGCCACAGCCCCGACAGCGAGTGCCACCTTTTGTCATTTTAACTAAGTCCAACAACCTATTTCAAGATAACTGAATCTCACAACCTGGTTGGAAAAGAGAAAGAGAGCCTGAATCATGCCTTGAGGCCCGAGAAAGCAAAAGTGCCCTTTTGCCCACAACATTATAAACTCCCCTCCTCTATCGCACCCCTTTTGCCTCAAAATAAGACCTTGTCAGTGCCCTGAGGCCTTGGTTGGGATCCTATGACGTGCTTTGCCAATAAGTTATGAAGATTGAGTCCAACTGTCGTTTTCTGAATATACAAAGGGTGCGCAAACCTTGTGACAGTGCCAATGCGAACTAACCGGCCTCACACCGACCCTGTCTTTCCGTTAAATCTGGGAATTGTCAAACCGTACCCTCTCAACCCCCCCACCCCCCCACCGCAAAACCGCAAAAGGCTAAGCTTTATCATGCCAATCCGACCTCGTCGCGATAGCTGCCATGGCCAGAACTGCCACGCCCGCGCCGGGCCCGGCGCAAAACCGCGGAGGCTGCTGCAGCTGCCTTCAGCCGGGTGACAAATGTAAGGACAAAATCATTAGAATGGGGGGCGTGGGGTGCTTGAAACCTTCCAGGTAAGGTAGAGCTCCCTTCCGTTATTTTGAAACTTGAAACCAAAGCTAGTCATGATCATGGAGAATTCATGTGTGCAATTTGCTTCGCCCCTTGTTTGCCGTTTGGCGCTTCACTCTCACATGGCGCCTGTTTGAAGAGGGTCCAGTTGAGAGGAAGTGGATCTTCCAGCTACAGTAGAGCTCCCTTGATTTTGCAAAACAAAAGGTAACCCTTGTAGTTTAGCTCGCCTTTTTGCCGGACCTGCAACATTAAGGGAATCAACTGCACCCTGCAATTGCCATGAGAGGGAGTAACTTGCTTGGTGGCTTCCCAGTTTCAGCCACCACGTCGTTGACTTCCAGCCGTCGCATGAATGCCCTCCCAACAAACATGGAAGCTAACGACCAGAGGGCTTTGGAAGACTTCTTTGACTTTGCAGGTGGGAAGCGCTTGTCAACTTCCATTGTTGGAAAGAGAGCATTCCCTTTGCGAAGTCGTCTGGAGCAGAACCGTGGTATGGGCCCAAGCAAAATCCGAGGCCCCTTCGGCGAGCACCAACATCGCAACACGGGTGCTTGGCCAATTACCTGTAGAAACTCAAGTCGCTGACTTCCATGACCCTACGTAAAGCCCAAATGTGATCTAGTCAGCCAAGTGCATCAAGGCCTTGCCCAAAAAGAACGATTTGGGGGGGGGGGGGGACCCCTATAATATCTATATATATATACATATATATACATATATATATATATAGACACATATATATATATAGATATCATCTCACGGCTGGCTTGTGGACGCAAGGCCAAGATGCCCAGATCTTGGTGGGTGGCAACCTAGGCCGAGTCAGACAGTTGGATCGATCCTGCAAGCCTGCGAGCCTCCCTAAGCTGGGATTTCGTTTTTGTTGACTTGCGAAACCAAAAACAAACAAAAAACAAAACAACAAAAACAAACAAGCAAGCAAGCAAGCAAGCAAGCAAGCAAGCAAGCAAGCAAGCACGCAAACAAACAAACAAAAACGCTGTCCGACTTGCATGTGGCCTTTCGCTTCGCACACAAGCAATGGACATCATGTTGGACAAACTGGAGCTCAACATCCTTTGCCCTTCGGATGCCACAGATGGTTATCTTCCCGGCCACTGGGACTGTCTTCACACTGCAACATCCTTGCACTGCAGCTAACCGCTAACCTCCTACAGGTTGACCTGGAAACCCCAATGTGTGTTCAACCTCTTTCGGGCTTCATGTATTTTGTTCGTGGTCAAGGGATTCAAGAACAAAAATGCCCGCAGGCCCCATGAACAACGTGGGTCGTGTTTTGCAAGGGACCCTGTTGAGGGCAAAGCCTTGGGCTCCTGCAAGGCACGCCCGCCATGTGGTCTGCACTACGAAATCTACGCTTCACCGGACCTCCTGGTCATGTGAAAGGGGGACACCATCTTTGAGAGGGAGACCCCCACCTCAGAATGCCCTCTCAAACCGTGTGGGTTTTAGGGCTCCTTTGGGAAAGGACCCCATACAGAACCCCAACCCTTCCTGCGGCTCGGGAGGACCCGAGCAATGACTTGTAGATCCCCTGCAAGTCAGGTTTCCAAATGCGCAAACCAAAGAAATCCAAAGGAGCAAAAAACAAAAGGCAGCTGGGCCAAACACATACCCATCAAGCAAAAAGAGGGAAGTCTTCAGGAAGGCCCAGCCAGCCACGAAATGTCTGCACGAGGAGCGGCAGCCAAGAACCTGGCACAGGGGGTAAAGCGATTCACGTTCTATGAAGTAGGGAATGTGGGACTGAAGCCAGCGATTCCCTTAAAGGAAACCACCAGTTGGATGGTTTGTAAGGGTCCTTCCACTTCTCTTTCCCTGTTGAGCACCAGCAAGGTTAGGTGGGGTAAGACAACAGACCCCCAAGGAAGGACGTTGACAACCTGCTGGCCCGTGCAAAGATAAACGAGAGGCATAACGCACCCTCCCACTAAGATGCAACATCACTGGAGGCCTCTGGGAGATCATCATGTTGATGTGACGTCCTGTCAGGTTGCACGTTGCCAGGCGTACTCCTGTTCGAGGCACCCGCGCAAAAAAATAGAATTCCCAAACCGGAAAAACGGGACGCCTCCATGGGCTGTCGCTCGTTTCCACCTCCGCGCAGTGAGCTCGTTGGAGTTTGGAAGGTAAATTCTGTTGGGCTCCCAGCCAACATAGCATTGAAGCCCCCTACATAAACAAACGGACAAACGGACAACGGACAAACAAACAAACAAACAAACAAACAAACAAACAAAACAAACAAACAAACAAACAAACAAACGGACAAACAAACAAGAACATAAATGAATACAAAGAACACTAGACTACATTACTAAATAAATAACAAATAAAGAAATAAATAAATATTTCAGGCTTGATGCATTCGAAGTCGCCCTTTCAGCCCCCTCCCCTTGCCAGTCAAACGCTCAACTCGACTCTCTGCGCCTGAGATCCTGGGCAGCCGATCGCCCGCCACCCAGCCTGCGGCTGGTGCTTCCCCTGCAAACATCCCCCCCCAGGCGAAACTTCGGCCTGAAGTCGGCCAACAAGGCTCACTTCCTGTAGACTGCCCCCCCCCAAAAAAAAATAATAATAAAAATCCAAACCTTGTAATTTACCACTAAGACGGTCTTCGCGAAAAGTTTTGAAGGTCCATGAGCTCGGGGAGTGAGAAGGTGCTTCGAAACCAGGAGAAATATGGTGGAAGTTTCAGCAACCCCCAAGTTGACCGTACTAATTTGGGGGGTTGGAACGAACCGAGCGGATCCCCATTGGCATCTGCGCCATCACTTAGGGAAGCGGAGGGCCGTTGTGGGTCAACCAGCGGGGAGCCCGGCAAACAAAGGGACAAAGGCCGGAGTCCACTGAATAACTGGGTTTGAGATTGGCAAAATCACCTGGCGCGATTGTCCCACAAGAGAAGAACTGCTCGAATTGATCAACGGGAATTCCCGAGTCCTCATTGTATCATTGAGCTTGTTTTTACCAACAGGTGAGCGTGCCATTTGTGAAGATATGTTTCGCAGCGAAGAACTCAGAAACCAACCTGTTAAGAGCACAATCCCAGAATACAAACCCAAAGCCTGCACATGTCCCCCACCTGCAATTTCCAGAAGAATAATCCACAGTAAGCCGACCACTATCAAATGTAGAAGCTAGCTGCTGCCATCTCTCTGACGCCTCTGACTCTAAATGGCGAGCCCCGAAGCAATGGCGCCGCCGAGGGCAACATGGCGCAGCCGCCGATTCCTTCCTGTTTTCTACGTCTCTATCTTCTTGATCGCTTACATTAGTGTGTCCACTGCATGCGGTGTACCTCTGTAAGTGTTGAAAAAGGAGAAAGTGTCCGACTTCCCGGGCACCTTGCGCTCTTGCTTCCATGATTTTGTGCTTCCCATCTCAGATGCCAAGGGTGTCAGAGGTAAGGGTCCAACGTTGGCTGGTCTGATGCAAGTGTCCGTCCGCGCGCGCATCGTTGCAAAGACTTTGAGCCCGGTCGAATCAAAGTCAACCGGCAGCCTTGGATCTGCAGCATCCAGGATACGCACATTTAGCACTTTGGAGAGCTTGGTTCCACAGATTGCTTCCCTGGACCCGCACAGGAAAAATGGGTAAGGGCTCTCTTGGGGCTCAACCCCCTGCCCCTGGCACCGCCCGATGGGCAGACGCGCTGATGCGCCGGAGCTGTCCTCCTGCTGCATAAGCCTGACGCTCGTGTCGCTCACGGACCCTTGACAAGGTGTCCGCAAAAACCCTGGTGCACGGTGCAAGGGTGACATGTTGCCTCTGGAGAAGGAAAGAAAAAGGACCTGATACCAACATTCCATCCACAAGGGGCAACATAATTCTTCCAGTTTGCCCTGTGATCATCACGAAATGCGGCTTAAAGCACCCCACGGACCCATTGCAGTTCTCCAATTAGGCCCTTACAGTACCCATGCGGCGTAAAGGCTGGAAGTAACCGTCGAAAGAGAGCGTGGGTGCAAAGGCGTCAAACCGATATGCACAAGTTACTAACCACAAAGCAGACTCACAAATCTCCGGGGCGAGCTCATTTGACCCAAGGTCCGAAAATGCAATCAGAGCAGAGCCCAAATGGGTGTGCCTCTTCTTGGAACCCCCAAAAATGTGGTTCTCCTCTTGGCTTCCCTTTAAAAGCCCCCCAAAAAGGGTACCCTCAAAACAAGACAAACCCATACTATACCCCGTAGATACTAAACAGTTGGCATGTACAAATCTAGGAGAGATGCCCTCAGAGATTCTTGCCTGGCCTGGACCGCACAGCGAAAATGCTTCAACCCGGCTTTAGTTCCTCGCTGAGGAAAACCAACATGAAAACAAGACACTACGGTGGATGGTCAAGGTTTGCTGGAGGCATCCGTCAGAAGGGCTTCTTTGAAACTGGGCTGTCTTCAATCCGAAGTTCCAGCTTCCAAACGCCCACTGTCTCAATTGGGAAGCAAAATCCGGCCGCCTTACCTCAAGGGTTCTCAGAACCCTTTAAGAACCCCCTCTACGAAAGCACCTTCCAACCGTTTTCTGGGGGAAGGGTGGCCTTTGGGATACTTGGATGTTCAACCCACTGAATCGGTTGTTTACAAGAAAGCATGCCCAACCTGATGGGAGCCCTTCCTAGCCGCTCAATCCCCCCACCCGCCTCTGCAAGCCCATGACCGGCGTGGGGTCTGAGCGCGAGAACCGCGCAGCGAGGTCCTCCTGGCCCACGTGCTGCGCTCAACTGAGGTGTTTTGAACCTGGTCATCCCCACCCCACAACCGGAAGTTTGCAAAAAATCCACGAGAATTCGAACATCTGAAAGAAGGAATCTTCAAGTCAAGGGCGAATCATGAGCCCCCCCCCACCCCCGGTTCTTCATGTTCCATGCCCAACACGAAATGGGCGCCCGGCCATGGATGGGACCCCCTCCCTACGTGAATCAGGATGTGGGGATCTATGGTCCGCATTAAGGCAAACCTTCTAATGACAGCCACGTTACCACGTCATTCAGAGATCCCAATTGCATTTCCCGCCTTCGTGTGCCACCAGTGGTGGTTTTACCCAGGGGCCTAAGCTGGGCAACGCTCTGCACCAAGCCCCACCTTACCAGCATAGGTTCCCTATTCCCCACAAACAAAGAAACTCACTGTAAAATTGCCCAAAAAGGTGATGTTTCAAACGACCAAAAAGGGAAAAGGAACCGGAGTCTGAAGAATGGACACTTGAGGCACGGTTAAGTTGGGGTTGGCCCAACCCTTTCGGGGGGTTTTGTTTGCCTTTGCTGCACCTCCAACTTTTCGACTTGTTTGGAACATGGAGTTGGGCCAATGGCCCAACCCTTTCGGGGGGTTTTGTTTGTCTTTGCGGCACCACCAACTTTCGACTAACATGGTCACAATCGCAATTTTCCCCACTCACCAGCGGGTAGGAGGCACAGGGCAGGCTGCACACACACACACACACACACCCTTGCCACTATGAGGTGTTCCCATTGTGTCAACGTTCAGGTCCACAAACGGCATCAGCGTTCTTCCCCTTAGACCCATTTCATCCCAAGCCCGACCCCGGTCCCCGGAGCCAACAAAAACCAACACGAACCTCGCGTCGCGCGGGCGGCTTTGTTTGTGTCCTCCATCTGTGTGTCCTCAGGCACCTCGATAAAGGTGTTCTTCACCTCGCCACGGCGGTCCGCGTGGACGCGGGCCGAGCCGGGGCGAACTATGGCCTGCCCACCTAACCCCCCCCCCCCGGGTCGTTTCGCAATTCAAGGCCCAAAGAAGGCCTGCTCTTTCTAAAATATGGGGTGGGTGATCCTACGAATGCTGGGTGCCAAAACAGCATATGCTGAACTGATGCAGACCAATCTATCTATGTATCTATCTATCCATCCATCTTTGTATGTATGTAAATGTATATACATACATATAGATATGCATATACATACTCTGTTGCGGCTTCCATGCGGTGTAGTTGGCATCCACAGGAAAATCCTGGCAGCCACGTGAGGCATGGTCAAAAACACCTGTTTCCCCAAAACGGACCTGGGGAAATGAGCGCGTACCGTGTTTATTTTTGTTCAAAAGCAAGTGAGCCCCCCATGTTCCTCCCAAATGGACCTTAGACAGGTCAGGAAATTTTGGCCACACAAATGATCAACCTGCAAAGGTTCCCCTTGTGCGATGTGCAGGTAGGGCTCTGAGACATCCGCTGTGACTTTGTTGCCCACTGGAAGTGCGGTTGACGCAGACGACATTGCCACGTTCCTGGCAGCAGTTGGCCAGGTCGAACATACGCTGAAGGGCCGTGTTGCGGCTATTGCAGGCCAGGTTCTGTTCTGGACGTTGGGATTTTGGGCCGCGCATGTACCCGGCCACCTAACCTTCAGGTTTACCCCTTCCGGAGCACGCAGCACAGAAGGGACGCGTGCATCTTGGGACGGATCGATGAGCAACTGCCGATCTTCTATGTTGCTAGCCTGTAAAGTGCCCCGGTCCCCGGTGGGAACTGGTGATCTCAGCGTGAGTTTGGCCCTTGACTCCTGGGTTCCCCCAAGGTCCACGGCTTAACCTGAAAGTGGCTGCCGTCTTCGGGTAGATGCCTCTGACCCATGAAGGGCGAGCGTTCCTTCATTCATGGCCCTCTGCGTGGGAAAAGGATCAACGGCGGCCAGTGCTGATATCTCTGATTCTTGGAGCCTCCTGTGGTTGAAAAGGTGCCTTTCCCTGACCTCTACTGGCCATTTGGCAAACAAGGGCTGGAAGCCTGGTTTTGACTTCGCAAAACGCGCCAAAACCAGCACAAAGGGTCTCCGTCTGGGCATTCTCTCTGCCAACATTCGTTTCGTGAGGCCAAGGTTCCGTGCATTTCCAACGTACCAAAGCCCGCAGTACACGGTCTACCTGTTTATCCGGCCACATGTGTCAGGTGAATTGCAGGCCTTAGTCGCATGCATGCCCTAACTCATTGGAAACTCATTAAGGCTCGCACCATGGAAAAGCACTGGGTCCTGTGACACCAGTCAGCAGGGCTGAACATTGGCACCCAAGTGGAAACTAAAGCAAAAATCCTGGAAAGGCACGTAGCAACCCCGCACGAAATGGAGAACCCACCGGCGATTGGACGCTCCTCAGCTGCACCTTGTCCTGCCATGGGGGGTGTATCGAGAGAAAAGGGGCCGTCAAGAAGGTGCACCTCAAATACAGTGGAACGCGAAATCCACAACAAAAAACAGCCGACCAAACATGAAGGATCAAACATAGACGGGATTTCTGGATGTTCGGAGACATACAAACAAACTTGAATCATAGTTGTACGGAAATTGTCCAGGGGAAAAAAAAAGAAGTTCAAGCCAAGGAGGAAGCAGCCCCGCCAGTGAAACCTACCTGGGTTGTTTCGACACTCTGCCGGATTGCTTCCCCAAGCAGAACACTTTCCTGGACCGTTCCGCTAGCACGCACATGACTCTTTGGTGAGTCACACTTCAACATCGTCCCAGTTTCCCAGTGAAAATCGTAGAACATATTCTGGGGAGAGGAGTCGATGGTTTCGGGTCGCCAAACAGAAAGAGAATTGCCTCCATCGCAAAAGGGTTTCCTTTTCAGGGGTTCAAAACTGGAACTTGTTTGGGTGGATCCGAACAAAGAGGCATAAAACGGTTGGAACCCACTGCATTGGTCCTGCGCTCAACAGCTTAGAACTGGACAGCAGGCATTGGCAGCCATATAGCCAGGGGGAACAACTAATTACAAGCAGGTTGACCATGCAAGAAGATCAGCTGCCTTTTCATCTTGAGATGGACATCTCAATTTGTTTAAGCTACGGTGTGGCAGTTGAGTAGATAAAGGCGCAAGGGCTTCAAACGCAGGGCTGCAGGCTGTAGATTCGAACCCGCAGGATCTAAGTCGGTCCTTGTCACTGGGCGGCGCCCTTGGCACGGCTTCAGGGTGCACCCCAACCAAAAAAACACTTGCCCGTCAGCGGGTGACAAACACGGCAGTGTCCTCACCATTCTGTTCAGATTCAGGTCTCCTTCTCTGCGGAAATTGCCCAAAACCCAGGAGGAGTCGGGTGATTTATCCAAAAAAAGATGGCTGCGAAGGGAATGGGAAATGAGTCGATGGAAAAATGACAATAACTGGTGCCCACCAAGAAACACACCGAGAGAATTACAGGCTACGGGCCCAGCAAAGGAATGCGGCTTAGTACCAGCTTCAGATTTATCATTCATCCGGGGTGCTTCCCCTTTCACAGGGGATTCATTCAGTTTTAGGGAGGTTCCTCAAACAAGCATTGTCCGAACAAACCCCAAGTCAACGAACGCCTATATATATATATATAGACCGAATGATGTGAGCCAGTTCCGAACAGGATTCCGTGTGTGAATTGCTCCAAGATAGATGTAAACTCAGGGATCCGTTGATCTCCCCAGTTAGGTGGGACCCATGGGTTAAACCCAGCTAGACGTAGACACAACATATTGGGATTCCCCCTCCAGTGACCTTGAGCAACAAAAGACTGGCGCCCTTGTTGATAGTTGGCTTTCAAGCGGAACCCCCCACCTCCCAAGACTTGGGGGTACTTTAGAACGGGCTTGCTCACTTCCTGAGTGGCTCGGCCAAAAAATGGTCCAACAGCTTGTTGCTTTGATCTCCCAACTCCCTTTATGTGGGTAGGCAAGGGGGGTTGCCTTTCACCCAGCTGTAGGTCGGTTGGCCGTCTGAACGGTGCTGCGATTTCTGGAGTTCGCAACCAGCCGCAGTTCCGAGGGGTTCCTCAAGTTCTCCAAAACAAGCCCATATGGGTATGGGTCAAAAAATGAAAACCACCAGACCGCACGTTTTGGTCCATGTGTCCATCTTGCCAGGGCAACCCGCTACCGGGTGGGTTCCACGCCGTGGGTTCGGCTCCATGGGCTCCGGGCGGGCTGCGGGTGCCGGAGTGCTGGGGGCTGCCGGAGTCACTGGAGGCGTTGCTGGCCTGGGAGGCCTGAAACGGCGAAACCGGCGCTGAGAAAGCTGAGAAAGTCAGAAAATGGGGCAAAACTTGCAGGGGTTGTGCCCAGATTTTCCCAGATTCTGCCAGATTCTGGTGCTGGTGGCTGGTGCTGGTGATTGGTTCTGCTCTTTCTTGCGGGTGCTGAGTTCGGGAAGCCTTTCAGGGGGGGTTGGGAATGATGGGGGTGCCCTGAGAGGGAGCCACAAAGGATGGCCCATTCTTCGGGTTCAAAGGGATGCCACACATTTTGGATGTCCAAAATGGAGGAACCGAAGACCAGCCCGGCCCCGTTTCGGTCTCCACATCAAATGGACACCATGAATTTTGTGGAAACTGGCCGGGTAAAGACCCAACACGTTGGGGTTTTCTGGTTTACCTCCCCTGCCCAGGCTCCCAGTTGCTTGGCCCTGCGCCAAACATATGTTCAAAAATACGATATTTTTTGGAGGAGGCCTCCGTTATCCTTAGTGATCTGCTGATTTAGAAGCCACCGACTCGTCACTCCTAGACCGGGTCTGCTATGACCATCCCATGGCCTTAGACTCTCGGCTGGATGAGTCGACCCGGTCCCCGAAGGGCTGACTCATGGGCCATGTGCCTTAGGAGCAGAAGGTGTCCTTCCAAATCAACAAAACCATGGGAGAAGCCCTTCGCCCCCCCTTCCGCTGGCATGGCGCCTGGCGCATCCCGAAAAACTAATTTCCTCAGGAAAAAAACAAAGACGTCGCTGGGTTTCCAAATTGAATCTCGAATTGACTGCTGGTATCCATTTAAAGAAGACGCCACTTTTGAAGCTTCAAAAAGGGAAGTGGAGCCCAAAACAAAAGTCTCCTCCAAGGTCCTCGAGTAGAGAGGTCAGAATAAGGGTACCCTTCTTTCTGTAGTCTAGTTTAGTAGGGGAACCCTCCCCCAAAAAACAAACGGTAAAAAGGCACGACTGGGGGACCTAGCCTCCAGAAATGGCTGGGTCTTGTTCCTAGGGCCGAAGGCCCTCCCCCGTCGACCCTCCCCTCGATTCGAGCGTCGGCCTGTTGCTCGCGGCGCCGGCGCAAGGCCTCGCGCACCGGGGAGGAAGCCATGGAGCTGTCCTCGGGCGGAAGGGAATGTCGGACAAAATTGACATGTGTATGCATACATACACACATACATATATACATATTTTGTATATGTGAATATCGACATATACATATATATATATATATATTCACAAGTGCTTTTATACATGTATGCGTATATGAGTATGAATATGGCATACATACATGCAACAACACAGGCATACACTCAACTAAATAAAGTGGAGGGATCCCTAACTAATCCAAAACGCGTGATACAACAAGGACCCCTCCCCCTTACCACCTGGCAAATGGAGTAATTGAGGATCAACTTGAACAACCCAAGTCAAGGGAACACAATGAACCCACTTCACTTCCCCCCTTCCAGGATGTACCTGCATCCCGCTTTCACAAGCGGAAAAGCCATCAAAGGAGCCACGGGCTTAGGTCGCGACCGCGCAAACCAAAGGGCAACGAAGCCCAAGCTCAGTCAGTGCGATTGAGGACAGAAGGGAAAAGAACAAAAGCAATTGCCGTTCACGCATCAACCATAGCACAGCATACCCACGTCCGCAAATGCACACACTGCTTAACTGCCCAGCAATCATAAGATGCAAAAAGCCTCTCTCCTTGATGGACCATTTGAATTGCAAGAGTCAGCAAACTTAACAACAACCAGTGGGGCTGAACATCATTGAGCAACCCGATGTTGCATACGTCCTGGGTGCAAGTAGGTTCTAGCCGTGCTTGTATGTTCAGCGTGGTCGTTGAACTTCTGGCCCAACTTCCAGCTCTGGGCACACGAAAACATGATCTTCGCTTTAGGTTGTGGCTCATATCTCGGCAACCTCAAACATCCAGCATGATTTCCGAGACACCGCCCCAAACCCACGCTCTGATGCGCTTCCCGCGGGATCGGATCGCGCGATCCGGGCACTTTGGGCGTCCCTGCGCTGCCGCCGTCCCCTGGCAGCAGCCAGATCTCCGCGTAGAGGCCCTGAAATTCGGACGAATTTGGGCCGGCCCACCGTCGACTGGCGACAAGAACCCAGCCAAACTATTCGGCCCGATGATGAAACCACTTGGGCGCTGTAGATCCACCAGCAAAAAGCTTAACTTCTTTGCTGGTTGAGAGAACATATGAGGAAAATCCAATAAGTTGAAGTCTAAAAATCCAACCAAATAGCAGTAGAGACCATGTGTTCCAGTTCATGTGCCTGAAATTCTGGATTCTGGACATCCGGAAAACATCGAGCAACAACCAGTTTTCAAGCGCGGAAACTGCCAAATGCCAGCGGATGCTCCTTGGGCTCAGGAACCCGTTCTTGGTTGTTGAAACGGAACGAGGCGGAAACCGCCCACTTCTTTTTCTTCCACAAATGTGAGGCAGGCCCGTGCACACCGCTTGTTCAAGGAAAGCCCGCCACTGGGCAGCTGGGAAGGGTCAAAACACGAGGGCTACAGCCAGAGATCGTTTCCAGAAGGGAGCCTGAAGATGGCCGGTCCCAAATGCCTTTCGAATTTGGTAAAGCCCGAAATGCAATTTCTGCCCGAAGGCTGGAACACCAGAACTGGTGTGTGATCTCATTGTGAATTTCCGGTACGGACTGCCCGGGTTTTGATCTTTCTGGCCACTTGTCATTGCTTGCTTGGGGAGCTCCGCGTTTCCCGCCCAGAGTAGCAAGGGAGCCTGGCTTGCAGAGAAGGGGAGCCGTTTCCGAGGTTGGCCCTTCCGAACAATACGGGCAAAAGTGCCACTGAACAGCTCGGGGAGGGCATACCTTGGCATCTCAGGCGCCAATCTCGAGCTGGCAAGGCTCTGCGAAAAACGTGGCCTATGGCTCCCTTCCAGAACATTTCAATTGGCCGCTTGCTGAAACCATGTTGGATTTACAAAGCATCAGTTCTAGCCAAAAAGACCACTAAAAGCTGCCCAAAGGTGGCGCTGGTAAATATCGCCTGTGTTCCAATCTTTCGTTAAAAGAAGCACTCACAAGCAGCCAACCCACCCACCAAACCCACCGACCGACCGAGCAACCAGCCAGCCAACCGTTCGGAACCTGAACTCCCTCCTGGCCCCGCCTCACTCGCCAATTCCTTGCGGATGTCGCCTCCGAGGTCTGATGAGCGACCCGCAAAAAGTCCGAGTAAATGGCAAATGACGGAGAAAAACAAACGATAAAAAAAGGTGAACAGGCAAGGCAAAAGTCCGGCAAGGAGCGAAAACATTTGGCCTTGTGAGGGTCGAACTGCGCATCCCGCCCAGCCACTTGGATGGCCAACCCTCAGGTAAGTTGGTTACAGCACGTTGCAGCTATAGCTGTTGGGAAAACAAGGGTTGTTGGACAAAATTATCCATGGCTGTAGTCTACTTGCAATGCGGGTTGGCTATCCAACTTGGGCCCCAAAAAGGAAAATCGGGGGCGCAAACCGATAAACCTGAGATAATCCCCTGCTGCCCAGCCGCCGTAGGCAGTGATGTTGTTGACGGCCACCTGCGACGGCAAGCATCCAGCAAGAACCCTACGAGGACCGGCACGAAAAAAGACGCAAAAATGCTATGCAATCGCCTTGGGAATTCGAAAATCCGGCAACCACATAACAACTACAATCTTCTTGAAATTAAGCAGCACTCCGTGTCTGAGTCTGAACGGAAGGGCGGGCCTAGCCAGCAACAAAGGGAACAAGCACTCATTTCATGGTTGGGAACTTGGGACTGTCCTCTAAACATCATTGGGCGTGCTTTTCTGAGGGGACACTGCTGCTTGTCGGGAAGAGGGACGTCGAACGCAAACCCCCCATTCTGGGTTCCATACTTGGAGACAAACCTATCCGTCTGCGTCGAAGGGGGCCTGGAAGAACAACAAACAACTGCTCATCGCCTTGGGGGTTCATCTTTTTCTCGCCAAGACGTCAAGGTTTAATTGATGGGCGAGACCTTGAGAAAGAGAACTAGAATGAAGAATCATGACACGAAAGCCAAGATCCTGGCACCCTTTCCCTTAGGCACGCCAATGAAACATCCAGGAGCTTGTCCATCTCTTTCCATCTTATTGTTGACTCAGGATTAATAAACCCGTCCCACTATTGGGGGGGGTGTTCCCTCCAAAAGTGATGAGTCGCCCCTAAAAGGGGACACCCCCCATTTAAGCAGCCAGGAGTTTGTTCATCCGGGCTTCCCGGCGACTTCATCTCCGCGGGCCATGATGGGTAACCCAGCAGCCTGGACACGCCGAATTCTTCCTTCGCAGGTCCCAAGCCCCAGCCGCTGGATTTCAGTATGGATTCCCTCCGAACTGGACGCGGAATGCGTGCAAAAGTGCGGAAATCCAGGGGTGCGAGTTGGTCTCTCCCAAACTGATTTGTGAACCCCTTGGAGTTGTTGGAAGGGGAAGCAACATCATTTGGACCATCAGGGGCCCCTTGTCAAAAGCACTTCCACACCATGTGCATTTCGACCCTGTCTACTTCAGCTTTAGCCTCGACCAAGGTGATTTGAACCAATGTTTCTTGTTGAGGGTACAAAGGAAAACCACCCCTAACCCCCAAACCGCCAATCCAAGCCACCGATTGGAAGGAAGCTGATACGTTTTTGGCTTTCCTCAGATCCCTCGCTCAAACTTCAGCCTTTAGTGGGTTAAATGAACAATTCCCCCCACTAAACCAATGCCAACTAAGAAGCTAAAAACCTCAGGAACCGGATGGCTGGCAACCACCAAGTTTAGAGGACGTGGCAAAAAAAAAAAAACGATTTCGGCGGCACGGATCGATCCCAGTGGCAGGGATCCTTCAAGTTGAGACAACATGACCTTTACCCCCCCTTAAAAAAAAAAAAAAAAAAAAAATCTCGCGTTGGTTTCCCTTTAATCCTTTTGGCTTCCCTTCGATCCAACCCAAAAACGGGTGCCCTCAAAAGCTCACACTTTCATTGGCAATCACAAGTTGTTCATACAAGGTGTGCAAGGAACGCATCGTGCCTGCAGCTTGAGCAGTGCCGCAGGTACAACGCAAATCACCAAACAAGGGGACTGCGGTAACTGCAGGGAGCCCTGAGTGCGGATTTCCCGTTTTGGGGAACCCCCCCCCGCCCCCTAACATGGTGGCTTTCCTTTTGCACCTGTTTTTTTTCCAGCCCAACAAAAAACACACACAAACCCAACAAAAACACAGGGTAGCCTCAGTCGCAGACCAGCCAATTCGCACTGGAAGCCGCCGCCGATCGATTTTCCCTCTCCGCGGTCGCATCGCATCCCCCGGCCGCGCGCTCTCATGGCGCGGTGAAGAAGCCCAGGCCCGCGCGGGAGGCGCGGGGCTGGCCTGGCGGGTCGCGAGGTCTTGGACTTCCACGGCGCGACGCATGTTTTTTTCCATGGGAAGACCGGGAAACCCCATGTTCCCTCGGGGTCCGGGAGATTGGAAGATGACTGCGGGGAAAACTTCTTTAAAGTCAACTTAAGTCATGATCACAAGAGGGCGCGAGTATTTGTTAGACGCATTTGTTGATCACAGTGACCAACACAAATCCTCGAACCATGCAAAGGCCCGGTAAAAACCTGCTGTTGTGGTAATGTTCTACAAGGGATCCTCTAAATCAGCTGGTACATGTGACTGTTTACTGGGCCGAAATCTATCCTTTCAAGGGGCCCCGTGCTGTCCTTATCCGAGTGCAGAAGTGGGTCTTTGCTCATCCTGGATCTCAAAAGAGGACAACCAAATCGGGAGATGCCAGGATGTGGTGTTTGGAAGGGCCGCTTCCCGCAAAGAACTTATGAAAATTTGGAGGACCACAATAAGGGTGAATCCCAGTTTAGTAGGCAAACAAATCAGTTGGGGGGATTCCTCTGATTAATGTGGTACTTCGGATTGATCTGAAGTCAATATTAACTAAGGGGAACCTTCATAATGGGCATATGGTTTCCCTTTGGTGCCGCTACTTCGAACAACATGTTTTTGTTCACAAGCCAACCCTGGCATTCAGAGCCATAGCAAGGGAAGCTATAACGGCTTCGCTAACAGTGACAAGTGAGCTTTGGGGCCGAGCCCCTGTAGAAATATAAACATATGCACACACAAATGTTCGGATGCTCAAAAAGCACAGCTGGTGCCGGTGTGGGTGGAGGTACTGCCACAAGGGCTGCACCCACAAGAAGCAGCTCATGCAGCCCCTGCCGTTCACATGAAGAAACCCGCCAAACAACCAATGCCCCGCCACACCAAGCTCCCCAACTTAGCCCCCCTCAGCCCTGCCTGGCACTGCTGGCTCTGGCTCTGACGGGCGCCTCGTCAGAGAAGCCCAGCGAGGGAAACCAATGACACCCGTTCAAAGAAACTGGCGCGGTATTCAACCGCGGGGGCAAAGCTTTCGCAAAACTTGTCTCGGCCCTGGACCAACTGTAGTTCTTGATTGTTTTAATCCCACTCGGAAAGTCATCCGCCACCAAAGGATGCAACAGAAAGGGTGGTCACCCGCCCACACAACTATTCCTAACCACTACAAAGGGAACAGGGCGGAATCTTCCACCTCCGATCTCCTCGCAAGTAAAACCCCACCTGACTTTGGAGCCTCCAAAGCGCCCGGATTCACTGGCCCAACCCCCTTTCAGGCTTTCGGAGCGAGTTGTCCACTACCAAGCCACTACTCAAACGAGACACAAGCACTCGCATGTACAGCGCTGCTAGGACACCACCAAAAAGCACAGCAAGCGCAAGTGTGTATTGGTATACCATATACATTTGCGTACCCCCAGTGAACATCCCAATCCCAACTAAAATAGACTAAAATAGGTAGTGCACCTGCCCCAAAATGGTTCCATTGGCTTTGACCTACAACCACTTCTGCATCATACATACACAAATTGTCCACAGTCCAGCCACTGTGATCCACCACAGCTTGATCCGTACTCTGCTTCCCTTGCCGCCCAATTGCCCGATCATTGATCCATAACGCCCATTGGGACATGGAATAAAACAGGCCCCTTTTCCTGCGACCCATTTCAGGGACCCGTGTTCATCCAAGAGGGCATGGGAAATTGAGTGATTCCCCCGCAAACATCCCGAGCCCCCCATCTTCCCAAATGAACAATAGACAAATCAGAAAATTTCGACCAAACCTCAGCGACGTCTTTCGGGAGTGGTCTAAACCCGCACCACCTGGCAACGGTCAAAACTCATCACCACGGCCACGGCCAAAAAAAAGAAATCCTTATCAGACCCTGTGGATCCCAGGCAAGCCCACATAGTATGTAATTAGTTACTTTCCTTTTGGCTTCTAGTTCTTAAGGCCTATGACCAGCCTTTGCACCATGGAAACCACTTCAGATGTTGGGGCCGCCCATTTGTGCGCCGACTTGTGGCCGAAGCGGCGCAGCCGCAGCGAGTCCGGGAGCGGCGGCGGCGACCTGAAAGGCGCAGTTGGTGGCAGATGTCGGACCCTGGCCCCAAAAATTGGATTTGGGGATGTCGATTAATAAACCCCTGTTTATTCGATTCATGTGGGGGGTGTTCCCCTCATCAAAAGTGAGAAATCCCCACTAAAACCGGGGACACCCCCATATTAAGACACAGGGGTTTATTAATCTGGGGTGGAAGCCCACCAATTGTGTTCCTTTTTGGCTTTACCCCCAAAACCGACCAAAAGGGGATTCCTCAACAACACAACGCACCCATTCTGTCGCACGTGCACATGCCAAACCAACATGGATGATCGCATTGTTGACGAACACTCGACTGGTCTTTCCAGGAGAAAGCTAGTTGGTGGGAGCAGCTCTGCGATGCGCCAGCCCTGGGCACCCTGTCAGTGAGTGACTGAGTGGCTGCCAAAGTCCGCTGCCGCAAGGACACTTAAGAGACTGAGGATTAAACCGGGGTAAGCCCGGGGCCTGGGCTAAAGTGAGACCATGAGGCTTGGCACCAAGAACTGCAAGATGCTATCTACTGCCTGCTCCTAGCGAAGACTCTGTGGACCTGTGGTGTAGCATTCGCCCGCCGGTTGGATTCTGGATCGGGCCCAGCCGCTCCCCACAGGCGACCCCCGCCTCTTGCACTGGGGGGGGCTCTACAGCGTCTGCCTCCTCCTGAGCCAAATCCGGAACAACATAATCGCGCAACATTGTGATTCAGATCATCTTGGTCTTCTTCAGCCCTTGCTTTTGTGGGTCGTCTTGCTGAAGGGGTAGCATACAGGGACCAGATTAGCCCAAGACTCAAGAGGTGTTGTTCCACAAAACTAAACCGGACACGTACGGACCCCTGCAAGAGGGGTCACGCATTCATGATACCCAGGTCGGCCCGCAAGCCATGCGTCTCCCAATCCCCGCCCCCCCCCCCCCCCCTGCCCTAAGAGTGAATTCGAAACCTACGGGGAAATGCCGGTGAGTAAAGGTTGGCCACTCTAGCTGTCTCCCAAGTCCATGTGCCCTTTGCCAACTTCAGCTGACTTCAAGCTTTTGCATTTCCCATTCCCTAGTTATGAGACTGGTAGATGAAGGAACCCTTCTGGGGGTCGATCTCATACTCTTTTGGCCACGAACCCACCAAGAACAAGAGATTCAAATGGCCATGGGTCAAGATCCGGTACCCCCAGTGAACATCCCAATCCCCACTAAAATAGATTAAAATGGGTGATGCACCTACCCCAAAATGGTACCATTGGTTTTGACCCACAGCCAAATGGATTCGGAGGGTGCCAAGCAACTGGCCGGTTGAGCGCAACTCAACTCCGCTCCTCCAGCTGCAACTCCTCCTCCGCCGGCGGCTCCACGCCCCCTGGCCGTGGAAAGGCCCCTCTTGCAGAGGCTTTGGGTTTGAGCTGGCGCATCCCTAGCCTGCGCTTGGCCCCATGAAAATTCACATGGACCTACCCAATGGCAACAGGGGGGAATTTGTTGAAAGGAGATTCCTGTAGAACACAAACGTTTGCTGTAGAAGACAAACGTTTGCTTAGGTCCCATGTTTTTTTGTGTTTTTTTTTGTTCTTTTTCTGTTCTGAGGAGTACCTTCCAGAGATTGATTTGTTTTGCAGGGGCATCCTCTCCGCTGCAGTCCTGACACCGAGTGCTTAGGAAGTTGTAAAAAATCAACACCGAGAACCCCTCTGTTGTTGCTTAACCTGTGTCCGAGCCCGTAAAAATAACCGGTAAAGTATCATGAACGTCAGAACGCAGGTTGTGGGTTAGATGCACAGGGTCCCCTTAGTTTGCTTGTCAGCATGTTGAGTACCAACTTGAGCTCAAGCGTTGGCGATGAGCTGCCTTTGGCAAGGCTGATGTCGCCCGACCCTGACCTGCATCCCCTCCCACCCTGCCTACCCCCAGGTGCGTCTTCAGGCGCGTGAACGTCTCCCTCCAGGCGCGCTCTTTGTCGTTGTACCTCCGCTCCATTTCCTGAGGCAAACGTCTGGAGCAATGCAGCGGACAGGCCAAGCGCAGGGCCCAAGCCTTGGCATCTATATCTTGGACTCCTCTGGGAGTGTAGAACCCTCAATGTGGGCCACTGAAAGGCATTGCTTTGTTTTGTCGACCACCAACGAGCTCCGCTGGTAGAAATCATCAAAGGAGGTCCGAATCCCAAACCTCCAGGGGATGTCCATGGGAAAGAGTCTAAGAGGGGCATATGAATGTTGTGTCAGATAGACTTTACAGGTGGACCACCTTCAAGACAGTTGTTCACTCACCTCCACGTAGGTGTCCTTTTGGAAAAATAGATGGCCCTGGAAAATAGAATCAAACCTATCTAAACCAGTGCCTTCTATTTTTAACCACACTAACCTGAAAAGGACACCTATGCACCTCCATACTCCCCACTCAAAGGCCCACGCTCGGAGGCGCTCGTTGAAGTGCCGGCGCAGCGTGTCCAGGCGCTCGTCCGAGTCGTTGGAGCACTGGTGCATCACCTCCAGCTCACCTCGGGGCTAAACGGCAGTGGTTCAAAAGACTGGTACCAAAATGGAACCCTGATAAGTGGAAACATGGACCAAAACCTGCGTAACCCCTCCTGTTTAATTTTGAGCCACACCCAGTCATGGATGCGGAGGATGCATTTTGCGAACAGCATAAGCGGCAAACAATCAGATTTGAAATGGGGGTCTGGTACCGTGAAACTAAGTTTAAGTCATGAATACTGGAAAATAAGGTTATGATCTATTCAGCCCTTTTGGAGAGTGAACGACCCCTCCGTGTTAAGCCTACCTTGGGGTAAAAAAAACATGGAACCCTGGATAGGGCGCTTTAAACAATTGCGGGGGGGCGGACTTGGACCCCATTCAATATGCTTTCCTAGCCATCAACCCCATGATTCGTGCTTTAGAGCGGAAAGCCTCCAGCATACGAAGAAGAAAAGGCAGCTCACATGTCCTCGAGATGCCAGAACCCATTCGTGCAACCCCTCCGCGATGTGCTTGATCCTCCCGGACTGCCCTCTTAGCTCGCCTAAGTAAGATCTGTAGTCCAAGATGGTTTCCACTCCCCATACCGCTACGCGCCTTCCCCCCCAAACAAAAAAACACAAAAACAAGTAGCTGTATACTCCTGTATCTCGGGCCACTAAGCCACTAAGCCACTAAGGGAGCTTGGAGGGAAGTGGAAGCCATCATGGATGCAGGAGACTCAGAAGACCCCATATCATTGCTGGTTTACCGTTGAGGCCCGTTTGCAATCTTTCCTGTCGGCTTCTTGATCTCTGCTCCAATCCCGGCCCCTCCAGCCGGGCCAACATGAAACTATCCTTTGGAGCCCACGGCCCCGACAGGCACTTCCACTCCAGGCGTTCCCAACTCCTAATTCCCGCTTGCTAAGGGTACATTGTTGGGTTGCCAACTGCAACTACAGTCCTTTCTGGAGCCTGAGCAACGCATCGCCCAACATTCCAAGCTGGTTCGATCAAAGGGTCGGCAAATCAGAAAACAGCACCCCCCACCCAATTCAAAGTCCTCGCAAGACTGGTCCGGTGAAGTATGTCTGGGAAGCGGGTGGCTTGGGCTGTCGTGTGACAGAACATCCATCCATCCATCCATCCATCCATCCATCCATCCATCCATCCATCCATCCATTTCCACCTCTCCAGCCCTCGATTTAGTTGGCCCCACCAAAGAAAAAGCGGAAGGACACGGGAGGTCGCGGCATTACCTCCTCGCGGGTGCGCGCGCAGTGCGGGCCCCATGCATGTTTGTTTAAGTGTTCAGGGCCAGCTGCTCTTCAAGAAGGAGTTCTCATTCTGGAGCGTCTCCAGCTTGGTCCTGGACAAACTTGCCTCTCAGTAGATAAAGAGGGGTCTCGGGAACGAACCTATCCCCAAGAAATTACACAAGGAAGGGAAGGTGCTAGAAGGCATCATTCCCTCATTCCCTGCTGAGAACAAGCAAGAAAGCTCGAGTCGTTTGGGCAAAGCTTTCTGTCAAAATTCCGTGTGATGTTCGGCCATCGCTGTTTTTAACCGCAGCTTCCACGGCGGCTGTGGCTTTCGAAGCAAAAAGCACCCCTGGAAACGTCCCTTTGCTTGAGCAACCAGACGCCAAGTTTAAAGAGAAACCAACCGGATAGTCACCCCGTAGAAACAATTGAAACAGAGGCTCGGATCGTAAAAAAGGCGAATCTACTCATCCGAAACACGTTTCAACCCTCGGCGGGAATTGATGACCAAGCTTCACCAGATCCTGTGAGCAGCTTGGCACTTAAGAATTCCGCAAGAGTCCCAGAGGGAAAGACAGCCCAAAAGGCGAAGACAACAAACCAAAGAGTCCCATAGAGCCCAGGAGACAGAAATCCCAATAAACAACGCAAAGAAAAATCACTTTGAAGGCCAGAAAGGTGCTGTTTAAGATTGTGAAAAGGGGCAATAGAAGAGCTGGACCCCTTCAAAACACCTTCGAGCTGATTTCCGGGCTGACGAGCACCGCTGTCCTCGTCTCCTGCAAGAGCTTAGCCAGGCGCAGCGTCTGCTCCTAGCGAGGTCTCGGCTTCGAGTTGGGCTGCTTGAAGCCCCACCTGCCCTAATTGAGAGCTTGGGTCAGGGGCTTTGGTCTTTGTTTCCATTTACCTAGGGGCCACTTTGGGTACCGTGTTCTTGAGAATCAAGAAGCGTTTGAGACAAGACAGAGCTAAGCTGTGTGAAATCAACTTGACAACCCCTTCTTGTTTGTGTGTTTTCGTCGTTCAAGTGTCCTTTTCACCCCCTCTTCTTTCATTCATCGCCTTCCCCACCTGCCCAATGCGATCCGGCCTGGTAGCCCTTGAGCTCACTGGACAGAAAGGCCACCTCCCTCTCAGAGGCGTTGGCCCTGAGCCCAAAGCCCGGAGGGGAGACCCAGGTGACACAAAAGAAAACTGGTCGAGCATGGTGGGAAAGCCCCTGCGTGCGCTTGGCTATGCCTAAGAAAACCCCCTGGCTCTGCCCCCTCAGAAGGCAACCAGCACAAAGAGAAGGAGCAACGGCTCCAGAGAACCTTCGAACTCCCACACCCACCCGCATTCTGCTGAGCTGCTTCGGGCTCCCCTCCGTGTCCAGCGGCAGCGCGCGGATCTGGGGACACATGGACCCAAATCTGACCTCTGCCCAAAGCACCTGAGGACCTGGGGAGAAATGCTCGACCTTGGGACCCTTGACTGGAAATGCAAAAGAGAAGCCGGAAGCCGGAAGGCGCCGGGTCCAGCATGCATGGTATGTGTGGCCCTAGGTGATCCTGTATGCCCTTCAAAGGTTAGAGTGCAATCTCTTGCACTAGCTTCCGGTCAGTCCTCAATGGTAAATGTTCGCTCCCGACGGATATTTACTGGGCTGGCCATTGGTTTTGAATTGGCCAGACCTTGGCCATCCCACAGACCCTGGAACCGACCCCCTCCACAACAAGCTCAAACACACCAGCCTCGTCCCAGCTCCCCTTTCGCAGCTTCGCCGAGAAAAAGAACACGGAGGAGTTGGGGTTTTGGACCGCGCGGGGGGGCCCGAGGACCCGCCGAAGCTCAGCCCAAAGGACCTGGAAAAGGTCCACCTTGAGGGACCGCTTGGCATGGACAACGCTGAAACCAGCTTCAAGACGTGCCGCTTTGGACAAGACCAGGAACTGAACAAGGCCTAACCTTCTAAAGGTCCATTTTCTGACAGCTGAGCCTCTGCTGGGCTTTGAGCGACGGGTACACATTTCTCCCAGGGTTCCCTACATGTCCTCTTGCACTCCTAGATCTCGGCAACTCACCCTACAAGGGCCCAGAAGGTGATGTTTACCACCACTAAAAAAAGGGGAAGTACAGGGATGCCCCCCCTGACGCCATGACTTCCTCCAGCCCCATGTGCGAGAATCAATTTGCCGGGGCGCGGCTTCGTCCAGCGAGGCAGTCGGCAGCTGCCGCTCCTGCGGCGCATGGCACACCCTCGACCCACCTCCGCCTGCCCACCTCCCCGCAAGCAGAGCCATGGCATCCTCCGTGCCCAAGCTCGCGAACCAGAAAAGTATTAAAAAAAACAAATGCAAACACAAATCCAAACAGCTGGCAATGCTGCCGCGCAAGTTGTGGCAGAAGTCAAGTCAATTCAGCCGCATCCGGGAGTCGAACCCCCGCGCCCCCAAAAATGTACCAAATCCCTTACCCTCACAATCCTGCCCCAGAAAAAGGCCTCAAGCAAGGCTAGCTTTTGGAAAAAGAGATCTATTGAGTTCCATGTCAGTGGGCGAAAGGCTAGCAAAGCCTTGACCTTGTTTGGAGGAAACAAGGCTATGTATGATGCACGTTGTGGAAATGGTGGCCCTCATGAAGCCTTTGGACAACTGTTTGTCAATTTGACAATTTGACTTTGTTGGTTCTGGTTGGGCATTTGCCTTTGTTGGTTCTGTTTTTGCACTTGCACTACCCCCCCCCCCAACCCCCCCCCCGCCCACCCGAAACATAGGGTGAATTCTGTGTTCTGCCGGAACATTGCACCGCTTGAGGGAAAGCTTACAGTGAAATTCCAAGGCTGGAAGCCTCCAAACAGAGACATGGATGTCCTAGAATCAAAAGTAGAGCTCAGTGTTTCCCTTCAGCCATGGAGGCGTCCATCTCACAACATGGAACCCCAAAAAGGGGGTTGGACTCCTTCCGGTTTGCCTTTATAAGATATCAAACACATGATATGTAGGCTGTTACCCCGACAACTGGTACACAGTCACGCCAGCATCAGTTAATATCAGTTAGGCCATTCGACTCGACGGAGCGGCCGATGTATCCTTCTTGTCCCGCGGCCGCTCATCCTCCGGGCGGTCTTTTCCTGACAAAGGCGGTCGCACCAGCAAGACAAAACATTAAAAACAAAAACAAGAAATCCCCACCCCCCACCCCCTACCCCCCCCCCCACCCCAACAAACGAAGAGAAAACACAAAGTAGAACACAACACGCAAAGATAGAAAACAAATCAACTCCCCGCCGAGGCTCTGCCCTTGGAGGCCAGCCGCCGGTAGTCGGACAGGGCGATGTTGTGCGTCCTATCCGACGGTGCGATCCCAGCAAAAGGGCCCACGCGCACACACGCGGGCGCACACCACCCGCGCGTCCCAGCGAGTCAGAACTGGAATGGGAACCAAACAAAAGAATTGGACCACTGAGCGAAGATCCCATTGAGCTACCTGGGTACCTGGCAAGCGGTCCAAACAAATATCCTGCTTCCAAACATTGGCGCTCCAAAACCTCCACCTCCCTGGTTGGACAAATGGGCTACACAGGCTCAGAGGCTGAAAACCTGGCTCGCGAAACGTGGGGGCCATCAACCAGGCTTAGGTTTTCACAGTGATGAGCAATGGGCGTGTCAAAATAACAGGCCCACCAAACTCTGTGCTTTCCTTTACCCTTGAAACCAACCTGAATGAAACAAACATCTCACACACACACACACGCGCGCACACACACACAAATGGAACCCTGGGTTCCACTTGTGGCCATCAAACCTCGGCACCTCGAGCGAAAAAATGGGCGTCCGGGGACCCCGGCACACCGCAGGCCACGGAAACGATGGCCTTGCCAGTGAGCACCTCGCGAGCGTGGGAAACCCGCAGTCCACGCACCGGGACCACCCAAAGTTCCCTTCGGCATGTGCTGTTGCCCCACAATGAGGGGGTGAATTCCCTTTTTGTTGGTAGTCTGAGGGTACACGTGTTTATCAGGAGGCCACATAAGGGGTGCTAGAACATGGGGGGAGTGGGCAAATCACGTCTGTTGCCCAACTGTGTCTGAAGAGTGAGCCGTCTCCTTTTAGCTGCCGTTTTGCGAGAATCAGAAACACTCCCAGAAAACCTCTGCCAGCCAAGAACAAGAGCATTATTACGGGTTCTATGCCGCATGTGCCTTACGTGGCTTGGGAGAAGTGACAATTATCTTGGTAATTCGGACTCTGTCGCATGCCATAAGTCCTGGGTCATGGCTATGGTTCTTTCTAAATGTCCTAAGGTTCCATGACCATCCCAGCGAAGCAAGCATGGCACCTGCTGAAGGAAGAATCACTGTGCTTACAGCATGGCCTCTTGGACCAAGTGCGCCCTCTCCCGCCCCACCCCCAACCCCCCACTCGTAGCCAACAAATCCGCCTTTGGAGATGCTCTTCAGATGAAACGGCCAGCTGCACAGCCCATTCAACACAACATGTTCTTTTCTTTCTCCCATTTAGTAAGCAGGTTGTACCTTAGTTGCAACCCTGGCTGCACATGAAACAGCACAGGTTGGCAGACACACTATCAACCAAATCACTCCCGCTAAGTGCGTGCAATTTTCCAAGAATAGCCGACTTGGAGCCTGCTACAACAACCTGCCGATGCTCTGCAGCGAGGGCACAAAAGGATGCACGTCCCGCGTTCAATTTCAGAATCCCACTCTGCACCCGGCTCCCTCTTCTCAACAAGTTCTGCATGCCACCTGTGCAACAACGAGGCTTTGCGCTTGCCCCCTGGCCCAAATTAAATTCAATGGAACCCAAAGCGCCATGCCACGAGTCTCCTTTTGCGTGCCTTGATCATGGTGGGCACGTTGGGGTAGGCGCTCTGCTCGGTGTGGCCGAAGGTCCTGTCACAACTTCCCCCACTGATCGGGTTTCCAGGGAGCCATGGCCCAAGTTTTCAGCATGCGGCTGAGGGCGCCGAGTTGCCCTTTGGCTAAAGTCTCAACACGATGGCACCCATTTGAGAACCATTCTCATGTGGTGAGCTTCGAGAACTGCCTAATCCAAGCGCTTCAGGGCGTTGCTCAAACCAGCAAAAACTGACGTTCCGCCTCAAGTAACTTCCCAGAGGGTCCGAACACGTTCTCAGGATGGGTTTCTGGAAACCCCTTCTCACAGCATACTTTCAGCCAACATTGCTCCAGAATGGTCTTTGGGGGAAAAACCGGTCTCCGGGCATGTTAGCTTAATTGTGGATCGCACGTCCCTGCAGCTGTTTCTTTTTATGACCATGATCATGTTAAACATGTGTTTCAGCAGACATGTCACGCATGTACATCCCTTGTTTCTGCAACATTGCATCAGCATAGCATCGAACCACCCAGATCAGTGCATGTCTAATCAGCATCATTCGACTAGATGGATTGCAGGTTCATGGGGTGCACTCGACAGCAATGGGGCTGGTCAGGAATGCGGCTTTACGTCAGCCTTGGCATGTTTGGTGCAACACATTGTGTGTCGAAGCCCTGCTCTCGAGCTCTTTTTTCGCCGCAGCATTTGGGCTTTGCAATCGATGGCGCTGGTGTCTGAGAGCCTCGGCAGTGGCATGTGCAGGGTGATCAGTCACCCCATGCGGGTGAGGGTCAGTGAGCCTTGGCCATGGATCTATGATCATAATGTTGCTTTTCAAATCGCAATGATTGCGTGATATAGGACTCATGTGTTAAAATTAATTGCTAGCCAAGGCAGAAGCTGACACAATTGAGCAAACGCTCAAAAACGTGGTGCAGAAACGCATCCTGGAGATTGCAGGCAGTGAGGACTGCCGGGTGGGTTCATGATTTACTTGCAATTGCTCCGGACCCTGATCGTGATTTGGTCAGGGGGCTGCACGGACACCCGGCTGCACTAAAATGGCATGCTCACCATGATCATAACGTTGCATGGAGATAAGATTCCGCCAGCTAGCTAGACAATTGCAATTCCTACAACTGCTTCTCAGCCCAGGTAATTGAGGAAGACTTGACCAACAACTATGAGCTCTTGAGGGACTTCTACCTGGATCATGCGGACAAGCCCCTGGCGCCGCTTGAGTGCTTCAAGGCATGGCCGTGTTTAATTTGCATTCCATGTACACGTGTAATCGATCTTGCAACACGGGTTTGATCCGAATGCATCATGAATCTGACAACCTTGCTGATTCCAGGCAGCATTTTGCAGCCTGAGCCTGCACCACAACTTCTGGCCTCTTGCTCTGTTCCGCCAAAGGGGTGGCAAAGGCAAAGTGCGTGTCCCTTGATTCATAATTTACTGCATGCAATGCATCGATATCGTTTCTATATAGCGATGTTTGCACATGCAATTGCTGAGGAGTGGGCATGCGCGGAAGCTACAAAATTCAGAGCACTTGCCTCACATGGGGTCCGCATCACATACCGCACACAAAGTGCAAGGCTGGGTTGCCGGGCTATTCAGCTTCATGATGACCTTGATGTTGCAGTGTGCCAGCCAGCCTGTATGATCTCACGTGTCAGGAATCCGCGGGTGCGGATATTGAAATCAATAGTTGCCAGCATGAGGCAGATCCCCAACGCAGCCACTCATGATCAGGATCCGGAGGAAGAGGCCGGGGGTGGTTCATGTACATTAACTCATGTCTCCTCGATCATGATCAAGAATGATTTGTTAATTATCGTCATGATATGTGAGGCGTGTGAATTGAAACTGCAGGGGCCACATACCCCAAGCACATGCCGGAAATCTGTTCGAGATCTTGATGCTGCACTTGCAAATGGTGAACATGATGAGGCACGTTTGCGTGCGTGTGAGATTGACTATATATATTTAAACCAAACAACCCCGGGCAACAAATTTCAAACTCCTGTGCGCCTGCAGGCCAAGGTCAGTGAAGACATCCCGGCAGAGGATGACCTGGCGCAGGAGGTTCCGAAGGACCCGCTTGAGTGCATGGAAAGTCAAGAGGACCCATGTTTCCCTGATCATGATGATGACTGCGATAATCATGATGCTGAAGATCAAAATCAAGATCATGATGACGATCATGTGCAAGCCATCATTGAGCAGCCCGAGGCCAGATACTGGAAATTTCATGCAATTGCATACATTGTCATATAGCGTGATTTTACGAGCTATGTATGTGCGTGTGATTTCTCGGTCAATGCAACCATGCCCCACACGCCTTGAGCTCAAGCTACCGCCAGGTCGAAGGTCAGCTCGATGGGCCTGAGGTGCCGGTGCCAGATCCACATGCTGCAGATACTGCGGCAGCGTTCAGAGTGACTTGATAGCATGCATATCGACATTCATTATATGTAGCATGTAGATCGATCGATATCGACATCGTGGGTCTGAAATCTATTCTGAGGATCGGGCACCGCTTCTTTCGAAGAAGGATCGGATGGAGCTGCCGCCCAGCCTGCAAAAGCTCGATGAGGAGGAGGTTTGCACGACTGAGATTCGAGCCCAACAAGCTGCCCTGAGGCAGAAGAAGAAGGAGGACTGTGAACATGCATATGATCAGTAATTTTTATTTGCTCTTGCACAAATTGGTGCACCATTTAATTAAATGGTTAAGGCATTTGCAAACCAACGTGATATGTCGACTAGCATGAATCAATTGCAGGAAGATGCTCAAGAGGGCATGGACAAAGTTGACAAAAAGCGGGCCAGGCAAGTTGAGCGCGAGGAAACCGAAGCCCGGCGTGAGACTAAGCGGGCAGCCAAAGAGGCAAAACAAGCAGCCCAGGAGCAAGCAAAAGAGGCAAAATTGCAAGCAAAAGCAGCAAAGGCAGCCAAAGCAGAGCAAGCAAAGGCAGCCAAAGCGGAGAAAGCAAAGGCAGCCAAGCCTGTGGCTAGCAAGCAGGTGCCTGTTGCTGCAGCATCAGAACCCACAGCTGACCATGGTGAAAAGCCTGCAGAGCAGGTGCAGGTGCAGAAGCAGGAGGATCAGCATGCGCAGCAGCAGCAGCAGCAGCCCAAATCGGAGTTGCAAGTGCAGCCAGTGCAGCAAAAGCCTGGCAGCAAAAAGCGTGCACGTGTGGACAGCAAAGAGCCCAGCAAGCCAGCCCCCAAGCGTCAGGCGAAGTCAAAGGCTGATGAGCCTTCAGGAGCATCAGCGAAAACACTGGAACCAGCATCTGCAGCTGGCACACTTCACCGGAAGGGCAGCACAGCCGATAACAAGGCAAAGGGGGAAGCAGCGGCAAAAAAAAGGATGGAAAATGCCAAAATTGGCTTGCAAAAGCTCCGGGCATGCAAGGCGGAAACGGGCGAGCCTTCGGATCTTCAAGTGCCCAATGAGAGCTTCTCCAGGCTGTGCCTCAGAAGGGAAATTCAGTCTCTGTACATGATACTACAATGCATATTTGCCACGATTGGGGACTGGAATTTGGGAGCGGTGATTCTATATCTGAACCTGACTTCATGCAGGTAGCAGGCCCAGGGGTGCAACAAAAGGTTTTGCGTGATTGTAGTCTGCGAATAATGTTGAGGGGGGTTTCTCGGTTATGAGCATATTGCATATGAATTGCAATTCAGGTTGATTGAAGTTTGAAATGGGGCACAGTGAATTGTCATATACACATGTACATGTTTTAGCACCCTGGTTTTTTATGGCTTTGGTTTCCTGATCTTGGCCATGATCATTTGCGCATTTGGCAAACTGAAACAAACTGTAAGGAGCTTCACGGTGCACTTCATCCCTGGCACCGACTCTGGCAAGACTTTGAGGTCACCAATTGGTGTGGTACTTAACTCGCAAGGCTTTTATGTCAGCTCGCTGAAGAAGACCAACGACACAATTGAGGACACAAGTGCATGTGCATGCTAATTGTCCGGTGCCCGCATCTCTCAACCATTGTCGGCTGAATCTGCATAGTGTTTGTCAGGAGCCTGACAAAAAGGGTGGTTGCACAATTAGCTGGTCATGGTTTGACAGCATCCCCGAAGCGCGCCCTGATTGCATGCATCATTGAAGTCGACCAACCTCGTCATAGTTTCTATAAACACAGAACTTTCAAGTAGTGTGCATGTCGAGAATGAGGTGGAACTGTGCCAAAGAATGCGCTGGATGGAATGAAACGGCGAACTTGAAGCAAGACTTGAACAAGAAGGTCGAGGATGTTTCATATCTGACAGTCATTGCTGGTCGATTGTTGTTGCAGTTCCCAAGCCCTGCTGCTTCATTCTGAACAGGTGCTGGCTGATCATGATGAGGCCAACGATATCGACTGATCGATGCAATTAACATCGCTGTGCTCTGATCGTGCGCAGTTTCAAGCAAGTGAGCATGGCAGCGCACTCCCCGATGCGTGTGCAGTGTCAGATATCAATAATAATAAGTTGGTTCCCTATCAATTGCAATTGCAAATTGGAACGCATGTTGTTTCTTTGATTCCATGAGCATGGGTGATTGTGCGTCTGCGTGCTACTTTGCGACTTGGGGTCATACCTATGGTTATCTAGCGCGCTGGGGTATCAAGAATTGAAGTTGCAATGCAATCAGGATTCGAACTATATTTCAAATTGGAGTAGTGCAATTGATCAGGATCTGGACGTCCAGCGTGCCAGAACCCATAGTCATCCAGTGCTCACGCAAAGTTGGTACTGGCCACATGTACATGTCAACGAGTAGGACCTGCAGTTCGTGATCGACCAACATGGCATGCGCAAGGAAGTTCTGGCATGCAGGAAAAATGGATCGATTTTATGCATGAGACCCTGCATGCAGCATGTGCATTGAGCCTGACTACACAGCTGGGTCTGAGTCACCGCACTCTTGCCAGGTGGATCGACATCGAGCTCCGAGCCTGGGCAGCGGGCAGAAGGTGCCAACCCCCCTGTGCACGAGGAGAGCTAGAGTTTTTCAAGGTGACTGCACATGATG